GTTGTGTAGTAGTTGTTGTGTAGTAGTTGTGTAGTAGTTGTGTAGTAGTTGTGTAGTAGTTGTGTAGTAGTTGTGTAGTAGTGTGTAGTAGTTGTGTAGTAGTTGTGTGTAGTTGTGTAGTTTGTGTAGTAGTTGTGTAGTAGTTTGTGTAGTAGTTAGTGTTGTAGTAGTAGTAGTAGTGTGTAGTAGTTGTGTAGTAGTTTGTGTAGTAGTTGTGTAGTTGTGTAGTAGTTGTGTGTAGTAGTTAGTTGTGTAGTAGTAGTAGTTGTGTAGTAGTTGTGTAGTAGTAGTAGTTGTGTAGTAGTTGTGTGTAGTTTGTGTAGTAGTTGTGTAGTAGTTGTGTAGTAGTTGTGTGTAGTAGTTGTGTAGTAGTTGTGTAGTAGTTGTGTGTAGTAGTTGTGTAGTAGTTGTGTGTAGTAGTTGTGTAGTAGTTGTGTGTAGTAGTTGTGTGTAGTAGTTGTGTAGTAGTTGTGTGTAGTAGTTGTGTGTAGTAGTTGTGTAGTAGTTGTGTGTAGTAGTTGTGTAGTAGTTGTGTAGTAGTTGTGTGTAGTAGTTGTGTAGTAGTTGTGTAGTAGTTGTGTGTAGTAGTTGTGTAGTAGTTGTGTGTAGTAGTTGTGTAGTAGTTGTGTAGTAGTTGTGTAGTAGTTGTGTGTAGTAGTTGTGTGTAGTAGTAGTAGTTGTGTAGTAGTAGTAGTGTGTGTAGTAGTTGTGTGTAGTTGTGTAGTAGTTGTGTAGTAGTTGTGTAGTAGTAGTTGTGTAGTAGTTGTTGTGTAGTAGTTGTGTAGTAGTTGTGTAGTAGTAGTTGTGTAGTAGTTGTGTAGTAGTTGTGTAGTAGTTGTGTAGTAGTTGTGTAGTAGTAGTAGTGTGTAGTAGTTTGTAGTAGTTGTGTAGTAGTTGTGTAGTTGTGTAGTAGTTGTGTGTAGTAGTGTGTAGTGTAGTAGTAGTTGTGTAGTAGTTGTGTAGTAGTTGTGTGTAGTAGTTTGTGTAGTATTGTTGTGTAGTAGTTGTGTAGTTTGTGTAGTAGTTGTGTAGTAGTTGTGTAGTAGTTGTGTAGTAGTAGTTGTGTAGTAGTTGTGTAGTAGTTGTGTAGTAGTTGTGTAGTGTTGTGTAGTAGTTGTGTAGTAGTTGTGTAGTAGTAGTTGTGTAGTAGTTGTGTAGTAGTAGTTGTGTAGTAGTTGTGTAGTAGTAGTAGTTGTGTAGTAGTAGTTGTGTAGTAGTAGTTGTGTAGTAGTAGTAGTTGTGTAGTAGTTGTGTAGTAGTTGTGTAGTAGTTGTGTAGTAGTAGTAGTTTGTGTAGTAGTAGTAGTTGTAGTGTGTAGTAGTTGTGTGTAGTAGTTGTGTAGTAGTTGTGTAGTAGTTGTGTAGTTGTGTAGTAGTTGTGTAGTAGTTGTGTAGTAGTTGTGTAGTAGTAGTGTGTAGTAGTTGTGTAGTAGTAGTAGTTGTGTAGTAGTTGTGTAGTAGTTGTGTAGTAGTTGTGTGTAGTAGTTGTGTAGTAGTAGTTGTGTAGTAGTTGTGTAGTAGTTGTGTAGTAGTTGTGTAGTAGTAGTTGTGTAGCGCTCGGGCCCAGAGCTGCTGTTTTCTTCTGACTTGAGATGATGAATGGCTCGGCTCCAGCTGTGACTTACTCCACCAGGACACACAGAACACACACACTCAGCGACACACACACACACACACACACACACACACACACACACACACACACACACACACACACACACACACACACACACAACATACAAACACATTATAATGATTTCCAAAGATTTATATGAGATAAATATTAGAGAAATGTTGCTCGTTTGAACCAATTTTTCAGTAAAACTCTTAACCTGTGTGAACCTGCCTCATACACAACAGAAAATAAACAGGTAGGTAAAATTTTTATTTTATTTTTTTTTAATAAATAGACTTTATTTACAAGAGGAAACTGCACAAAACTGTATTCCAGAGGCTAAAATCACATGACAAATTCTACTGGGGCTGGGTATCATTAAGAAGTTGCAGATATAATACAAACCTCGATACAGCGAGCTTTCGGTTCGATACGATATATTTCAAATAAATTCGATACAGTTCAATAAAAAATTAAGTGTAAATCGTGGCTGTGATACTAAAAGTCTTTGTTAAACCACTTCTTGTGCAAAGTTTAAATGAAATACGCCCATTTTAACCCTCTCAGGCTCAAATAAATTTTTAGTATCAGGAAAAATCTGATATTTGAGGAAAATTATAATATGGGGTAGTAATATACAATCCCGACTTTTTTATCCTTTGTAAATAAAAAAAGTGTTTTGCACTTCTGGCAGGCCGTTTGCGTGTAGTCATTCGTGCACAGTCTGCATTGTCCACGTTTATCAGCATGGATGGGAGAAAAGTCTCCTGAGTAAAAAAGCTCATAAATATGGATGTGGAGTAAGTAGGTACTTGGAATTTAGCTGTTGCAAATCTGCAACGCCTGCCTGGAGAGGGTTAATCATCAAAACAGTGAAAATGTCAAATGTGTTAAATGAGTTTCCTTCCTCTGAACAAACAACAAAACTGTAGCTATACCAAAATAGTTTAGTAAAATAATCCAAATACTCTTGGCGATATATATCGATACAGCAGCCCACGATATCGATACTGTATCATCACATTAAACGATACTATATATCTGTATTTCAATATTTTTTGCACACCCTTACATTCTGCATTTAAAGAATCGGGCTCTGTAGAATCTGACCCTTATAACACTATACATGTTTGTTTGGTTTAATTACCGTATTTTTTGGACTATATGTCACACTTTTTTCATGGTTTGGGTGTTTCTTGCGACTTCTATATTAAAATGTTTGAGTGAAGCGTGGAGGTTCTAGTCTTGTGTGTGAGTATCTGCTGCTCCTGTTCCTCCTGTACCACTGTCACTTGGCTCTACTGCGCATGTCTCCTGCAGAAAGAGCCTCTGTCCTGCTGCAAGTCGTGAAATATTCAGCTGAAAACATAAATCGAGCAGCAGAAAGGAAGTTTGGAGTGAACTGTTTGAAATGAATTGTGTGTACAGTGAGTGTGCTGGTGGTGTTGTGTACGTTTGTGTGATTGTTGTTGTACTTTTCCTTTGTCCTGTAGATGATTTTACATCAACCTGTTGAGGGACTGAAGATGGAAATGAGCCACGTTGGCTATAAACTTTACATATTTACATTTTTTAAATGTTCATTAACCCATTGACGCCGGATGCTGCGCAGCGCTGAGTCCCCTGTCGGTGTCCGGATTGTCTGGCGATCAACGTAACTGGTAAAGGCGGAGCCACATCTGGAAGCATGGGGGGCGTGTCCTCCTCTCGCTTCCATTCACTCCCATAGAGAGACGCAAAACTGCCAGAAAAACCTTCTTTATCGTGGCCCATTGAATGTCCGTCTGTATGTCAAATGTCTGCATGTCACAGTGTGTGTGTCTGCAGCCACAAACTGTTGCACTTTACACAGTCATGGTACATGTGTTTGGATTTTTGTTACGCCACGACAATCCGGACACCGACAGGGGACTCAGCGCTGCGCTGGGCAGCATCCGGCGTCAATGGGTTAATATGTGCTGCTGTCCCTTTACAAATAAATAAAATAAGAAATAAGGAGTGAGCGAGGAACTTGTGAGGGACTGACGGAAAGCGAGGATGGAGAACACAGCTTCACGGGGACCAGGAGGAAGCAGCATGAAACTTTCCTGAAGACACTGGATGGATGGACAAAGCCTGGACTTCAGCGACACCGAAACCATCCTGTCGGGATTCAGAAAGACCCGAATAATTCTAACTGGAACTGATGCTGAGTCTGACGACAGCGACGCAGAAGAGGAAGCGTCGCTCTGTTTACCTCCGGAGGTCGAGGAGTTGTTCAGAAGTGACACCGAGGATGAAGAATTGAATGGATTTAGTGATTTGGAGTGAGATGGAGAGTTTGTTAAACTTGTTCTGTTCTGTTGTTTATGTTATAGTTTATCTGAAGAACTGTTCATATGTGACGTTAACAGTCTGTTCTTCTCTCTTCTATTGTTTTTACTACAACTTGACTTTACACAGGAAATGTCGGCTCCTGGTCTCTGAATTTATAAAATATATTTCCCCCAAAAAGAGTGACTTATATGTTTTTTTCTTTTTCATTATGCATTTTTTTGGCTGGTGCGACTTATAGTAAAATCATTTCAATCGCTCCAGAGTATAAGTGCAAATAAAATCTAAATCTAAAGGTCACTGGAACATTACTCCTACTACAACCACAAATCACCTGGTCCCCGAAGGTTTTGTATTCACCCTGTGTGTGTCTGTGTTGGTCCACCCGCGATAATTCTGGCATTTATGAACTGATTGTCACCAAATTTGGTACGTGGGTCAAGCCCTCGTGCCCGATGCCGCAAAATTTTTTTGGTGACGATCCAAGGTCATTTGAGGTCACACGGGTCAATTGAAAGGTCACGCCATTATACAGGATTTTGGCAATTTCGGCAATTTCTGAACCATCTGCGGCCTAAAATATTCACCCAATCGTCACACAAGTTGGCGCACACATAACCGGGGTCCACTGGATGTTACAGGTTGAAACCGGTCAAGGTCACTTGAAGGTCAAATATACATTTTTGGTCATAACTCCGCGAAGGATCGAGCTCGAGCGACGGGAGTGTCTCAAAATCTCAGAAAAATTATGATCCATTTATAATTCTATGCGTTTGTGTTGTCAAATATGAATAGTTTTCCAGATAATCAGTAATTATAACAACACACTGATCTACAGTCACAGAACTAACATGTACGCAACTCATGAAAAATGACATTTTCGGCGAGACACATTACATTGTGGATATAACGATCATGTAAAACGGGCTGGACTCCTCAAACTGCTTCTGTGGTGATGAACTGACCCACCGATGCCTCATGGGGACCAGGTTTCTATTTCTGATTGAGCTTGTTCCAATATTACTTCTAAAAAGGTACTACTACAACATAAGAAAAATAAATAAAAAGACACGTTTGTATGGATTTGGACGGGTTTTATTGTTAACAGACGTGCGGGGCCGGGGGCGGGGGGAGTGTGTGCGCTGTACAAAATGTCTTCGTCCTCTCACTGCTTGACGACGGTGGGCGTGATCATCTTGTTGAAGGCGTAGTACTTGCACTCGGTCGGGGGCACGATGTCCATGGTGCCGGTGGACATGTTCTCCTTCTTGAAGCCGGCCTCGATCAGGTGGGGCACCTGCGTCTCCTGGAATCATTGACAGAAGGTCGGGGGGTCGGAAGTTTTTATCGGACGCGTTTGAAGATTAACCAGAGGAGTGTGAAGAGTGTGTGTGCGCGTGAACTCTGTAAACTGATTTGATAACCGTTTCATAAATGATGGAGACGATTATTATCAAAAGGAGAGTATTACTAAAGCTGATAAAGAGTATAAAACGTACCAGTCGTTCTTTTGAATTTCAGTCAAGAACGAAAAATAATGAAATGGGAAAACTGTTAATCCATGTATCATTCGTTTTTCAAAATAAAACCAAAAAAAAACAACTATTTTCTTCATTATTTGTCTCCAAAACCAAAATGAAAAAACAGATAATGATTTTTTTTTTCAGTTTTTTTTTCAATTTTCAGATTTTGTGTTTAAATGAAAAAAAAAAAAAAAAAAAAACGGATAAAGAACTAAACCAGGATTAAACGGGACTAAAACGGGACTAAAATGAGACTAAAACGAGACTAAAACAGGACTAAACCGGGACTAAAATGGGACTAAACCGGGACTAAAATGGGACTAAACCGGGACTAAAACGGGACTAAAACGGGACTAAAACGAGACTAAAACGAGACTAAAACAGGACTAAAACAGGACTAAACCGGGACTAAACCAGGACTAAACCGGGACTAAACCGGGACTAAACCGGGACTAAAATGGGACTAAACCGGGACTAAAATGGGATTAAACCGGGACTAAAATGGGACTAAACTGGGACTAAAACGGGATTAAAACGGGACTAAAATGAGACTAAAACAGGACTAAACCGGGACTAAAACAGGACTAAACGGGGACTAAAACAGGACTAAACCAGGACTAAAATGGGACTAAACCGGGACTAAAATGGGACTAAAATGGGACTAAACTGGGACTAAACCGGGACTAAAACGGGACTGAACGAGGACTAAACCAGGACTGAAACGGGACTGAACCAGGACTGAACCAGGACTGAACCAGGACTAACACGGGACTAAACCGGGACTAAAATGGGACTAAACTGGGACTAAAACGGGACTAAAACAGGACTGAACCAGGACTGAACCAGGACTAAACCAGGACTAAAACGGGACTGAAATGGGACTAAAACAGGATTAAGTGTTGGGATGGGCCCAGACGTGCTCCCGCGTAGACTGTGAGGTGATCAGGTCTAAGACCAGGACCAGATTAGGACTGAGACCGGGACTGAGACCAGGACCAGACTGGTACTGAACCAGGACTGAACCATTTTTTCCATTTTTCATTTAAACACAAAATCAAAAACTGAAAAAATTAATCATTATTGTTTTTTTTTTCATTTTGGTTTTGGAGACAAATAATGAATAAAATAGTTGTTTTTTTCGTTTTCTTATTTTTGGTTTTATTTTGAAAAACAAATTAATGATTCATACACGCATTATAGTTATTTAATTTTTCTGTTTTAGTGTCAAACAAAAAACAGATTTTATCCTCCTTTTTCAATATTTAATTTAAAGTTTATTTCAAATAACACCAATCAAAAAACAGTTTCAGTGTCTTTTTTAATTCTGATATTTTATTCTCTCAGGTTTATTTGCCCCGGACGTTCTGCTGCTCGGTGCCGCGAGTGAATTCAGTCTGTGAATTCAATGTCAACTGAATTCACAGAGTTCAATAAAGATTTTCTAAAGTCGGTCGTACACTGCGTTTTTTGGCATTTTTTGGATCAGATTTTTCACTCGTGCGGCTCGTGTTTTTGGGATCAGCGTGACTTTTCACTTAATCGTGTGTCGTTCTTCGTGTAGTAAACATGGGGAAACGAGAACCGATTAATACCTCACGAATATTAAACCTGTTTGATCGTCGTCGTCGCCTCTCATGAGGATTTCACACTGTTGAAATCGTTCCACGAGCTGTGATTTGGTCGTACAGTTTGAGCTGGGGATGAGTGAAACCATCGAAAATATCGCACTGTGTACGTCCGGCATAAGACACGAAAGTAAAAGTGACATGTTTGTCCACAAAATTGTAACGATTTTTCAGGTAAGTCCTTCTAACAGCAGAACTTCCAGGGAGAACAAACCAGAGGGAATAAAATATCAAAATTAAAATAGGCACGATGACTGTTTTTTGATTGGTGCTATTTGAAATAAACTTTAAATTAAATATTGGAAATAGAGGTCGAAATCTGTTTTTTGTTTGTAAAGAATTTGAATAAAAGCTTTATTTGATCACTTTTGTGCCAAGAGATAAAGGCTGAAAACGTGACTCCACCGCCGTCTTGTGAGTTTGAGGTAAAAGGTTTGTGGGTGAGTGTGTCTCTGTGGAGAGTCTCTGTGTAGAGGCTCCACATCTGAGCCAGGGGCTGGTTTTATGGCCGACAATATGTTGTGGAGGAGGCGGGCAGTGGTTTAGTTCTGGTTTTAGTTCTGTTTAGCCCCGGTTTAGACCTGGTTTTACACATAAAATTAGACTTGGTATTAGACCTGGTTTAGACCTGGTTTAGTCCTGGTTTAGTACTGGTTTTAGACCTGGTTTAGTCCTGGTTTAGTACTGGTTAAATCCTGGTTTAGTCCTGGTTTTAAACCTAGTTTAGTTCCATTTTAGTCCTGGTTTAGTAATGGTTTTTGTCCTGGTTTAGTCCTGGTTTTAGTTCTGGTTTTAGACCTAGTTTAGTCCTGGTTTAGACCTAGTTTAGTCCTGGTTTAGACCTAGTTTAGTCCTGGTTTAGTCCTGGTTTTAGTCCTGGTTTTAAACCTAGTTTAGTCCTGTTTTAGTCCTGGTTTTAGTCCTGGTTTTAGTCCTGGTTTTAGTCCTGGTTTTAGTCCTGGTTTTAGTTCTGGTTTTAGACCTAGTTTAGTCCTGGTTTAGACCTAGTTTAGTCCTGTTTTAGTCCTGGTTTTAAACCTAGTTTAGTTCCATTTTAGTCCTGGTTTAGTTCTGGTTTTAGACCTAGTTTAGTCCTGTTTTAGTCCTGGTTTTAGTCCTGTTTTAGTCCTGGTTTTAGTTCTGGTTTTAGACCTAGTTTAGACCTGGTTTAATCCTGGTTTTAGTCCTGGTTTTAGTTCTGGTTTAGACCTAGTTTAGTTCCTGTTTTAGTCCTGGTTTACTTCTGGTTTAGACCTGGTTTAGACCTGGTTTTAGACCTGGTTTTAGAAGACCTGGTTTAGACCTGGTTTAGTTCTGATTTAGTCCTGGTTTAGACCTGGTTTAGTTCTGATTTAGTCCTGGTTTACTTCTTGGTTTTAGATCTGGTTTCGAGGCGCGGTTGGGGACCCCTGCTCTAGATTCTAAACAAAAGATATCGGTGTGGAAACGCCGATATATCGACGCAATTAAACCAACGGAAAAACGAAAAGACGCCTGACGAGGAAACTGACCTCAAACATCTTCTCGATGTTGTCGTATTTGGTCTTGAGCAGCTCTCCCCAGGACGTCAGGTTACAGTAGGTGAGGACTCCCCCGGGCTTCAGCAGCCTGTGTGCGTGACCCTGCAACAACAACAACAACAACAACACAACTTCACTTTAACACACAACAACACTCACGCACAACTACAAGTACAAACACAGGAAGTAGTAAGTCATTTCCAGAATTTGGTGATGTTATAATGGCTGTTTCATGGTAATAAACATTAAAGGTTGTATAGAGGAAATACAGCGACAGTCCTTTGTCAAATGTTGTGCTTGTGTGACTCCACCTTCCTCCTCCACAGCTCCTCAGTAGAAACATCTCCTCCTCCCGCCTCTTTACTCTAGAAATCACACTTGTTTACAGCCAGTGACTGTTCAGAATCACTGTTGAAATAATTTAACAACCGACGCGTCAGTTTTTAGACCCTTCGTCTGCTTCAGTCGCACCGTCGCTGGAAGGAATCTCCAAGAATCACCTCAGTTTGTCTTCGCTCCTTTTCTCCTTCTCTTCTTCTTTCAGCGACCTCAAAAACCGACTTTCTTTTGCGGCGAACCGGTCGTGGATTCTCGTCCGCCGTCGCGACAAACTTTGTGCGAACTGCGAGGAAGCGACAGTTTAAAAAAAGCCTCTAAGAACCGCCGCATAAACCACGTCATCCCCGCGCGCCGAGAGTCAGTTACACTAGAAATGTAAGGAGTTTGATTGACAACCTAACAGCCAATAGATAAAGAGGGAGCCTCGTTTTCTATTGGCTGATGTTTGTCTGGACTCACTACGTCCACAGTTGATAGATTTTCATTCTTTTTTTTTTTGGTCATCATAATTCCAAGGCTGCTGCGTCTCTGTAATGTTATTTTAAACTTTCAATGACAAGTTGAACCTAAAAAAAAAAATCCTCCATACAACCTTTAAGATGTGTCAGACACCACTGTTATTCATTTTTACAGATTTTGTTTGCAGAAATATTTAAGTGACAACGTGGGCCTTTGTCTCATTTTAAATTCACGTTAGTTTATGTTAAACATTTTTATTTTGAAAGGGGACTTGCTTTGCTTTGGGAGTTACCTGATACTCACCTGGGGGGAGGTGAAAAAGACAAGCAGGTGTCACCAATTGGAGAGAGACTTCTTCTGTGTTTGGTGTTTTTGCTTTGAGTTACTTATTTTTTTGTCTATTTGTACTTTTGTTGGCGAACCCCAGACGTCTGTATTTAAAATAAATTTTGTCTGCGTAAAGACACCTTTTTTTGTGACATCTGCCTCCTACTTTGACCACTTTGGCCAGCTTCCCTACAATTTACTTTTATGAGTCATGTGACCTTTTACTTTGCCCCGGAAGCAAACAGAGAGCGAGAAATAGAGAGAAAAAGAGAGAAAAAGATGACGGAAACACAGAAAAAGTGTCAAGAAAAGATGTCAAACTTAAACAGCGCCGGTGATGAGATCTAAACTACAGGGACTGCAGCTTTCACACAGAATCAGACGCACAGACACACTACACTGACTGCTCCAGATGAGGCGGCCATCTTGGGACTGTTACCTTGATGAAGTCAAACTGATGCGTGTGCCACTTGTCTTCTGACAGGGGGTAGGTGTCGTACAGGATTCCTGCAACAAATGGACGTTTTAGTTTTCACAACTCGTACTGGAAAACATTTACACTATACATATACAATAGTAGAATCATTACTTCAAAATATTCAAGTACAAGTAGTGGCCCAAGGAATGACAACAGTATGTAAAGGTGGCAAGTCAAAATATAAATATATCGTATCGTTTAATGTGATGATACAGTATCGATATCGTGGGCTGCTGTATCGATATATCACCAAGAGGATTTATTGGTTTATTTTATTAAATTATTTTGTGTAACAGTGACAATTGTGTTGACATTTTCACTGTTTTGACGAGTAAAATTAATGTTTTTCATATTCACTTTGCACAGACTTAGTGGACTTTTATTTTTTGGTGTATTTTACCATATACTACAAGTAAAAGTATTTGATTAAAGTTGTAAATATTTATGACTTTATCCATTGTTCACAGTTATCAGACACTGACAATGTCACCAATGATTAACAGTTTAATCAAGAGACAAAGATGAAAAAGGTCACGGGCGCAGATGGTTCAGACCTGGATCAGTCCTGGTTTAGAACTGGTTTAGTCCTGATTCAGTCCTGATTTATTCCTAGTTTAGTCCTGGTTCAGTACTGGTTTAAAACTGGTTTAGTTTCCTGGTTTAGTCCTGGTTTAAAAACTGGTTCAGTCCTGGTTCAGTCCTGGTTCAGTCCTTGGTTTAGTCCTTGTTTAGTCCTTGTTTAGTCCTGGTTTAGTCCTGGTTTAGTCCCGGTTTAAGTCCCGTTTAGTCCCGGTTTAGTCCCGGTTTAGTCTTGTTTAAAAAATGGTTCAGTCCTGGTTCAGTCCTGGTTTTTAGTCCTGTTTTAGTCCTGGTTTAGTCCCGGTTTAGTCCTGGTTTAGTCCTGGTTTAGACTTGTTTAAAAACTGGTTCAGTCCTGGTTAAGTCCTGGTTTAGTCCTGGTTTAGTCCTGGTTTAGTCTTGTTTAAAAACTGGTTCAGTCCTGGTTTAGTCCCGGTTTAGTCCTGGTTTAGTCCTGGTTTAGTCTGGTTCAGTCCTGGTTTAGTCCCGGTTTAGTCCCGGTTTAGTCCTGGTTTAGTCTTGTTTAAAAACTGGTTTAGTCCTGGTTTAGTCTTGTTTAAAAACTGGTTTAGTCCTGGTTTAGTCTTGTTTAAAAACTGGTTCAGTCCTGGTTCAGTCCTGGTTCAGTCCTTGTTTAGTCCTTTAGTCCTGGTTTAGTCCTGGTTTAGTCCCGTTTAGTCCCGGTTTAGTCCCGGTTTAGTCCCGGTTTAGTCTTGTTTAAAAACTGGTTCAGTCCTGGTTAAGTCCTGGTTCAGTCCTGGTTTAGTCCTGGTTTAGTCCCGGTTTAGTCCTGGTTTAGTCTTGTTTAAAAACTGGTTCAGTCCTGGTTAAGTCCTGGTTTAGTCCTGGTTTAGTCCTGGTTTAGTCCTGGTTTAGTCTTGTTTAAAAACTGGTTCAGTCCCGGTTTAGTCCCGGTTTAGTCCTGGTTTAGTCCTGGTTCAGTCCTGGTTTAGTCCCGGTTTAGTCCTGGTTTAGTCTTGTTAAAATACTGGTTTAGTCCTGGTTTAGTCTTGTTTAAAAACTGGTTTAGTCCTGGTTTAGTCCTGGTTTAGTCTTGTTTAAAAACTGGTTTAGTCCTGGTTTAGTCTTGTTTAAAAACTGGTTCAGTCCTGGTTAGTCCTGGTTTAGTCCTGGTTTAGTCTTGTTTTAAAAACTGGTTCAGTCCCAGTTTAGTCCTGGTTTAGACCTGGTTTAGACCTGGTTTAGACCTGGTTTAGTCCCGGTTTAGTCCTGGTTTAGACCTGATTAATTTCTTATTTCTGACATCAGTCGTTGAATCATCTGTACTGGAAGCGGGTTTGTGCAAAAATATTTAAATATCGATATATCATGGACTGCTGGTTCGATATATCGGCAAGAGTATTTTTAAGTGTATTTTACTAAATTATTTCGTGTAAAAGCTGCAGTTGTGTTGACATTTTCACTGTTTTGACGAGTAAAATTTGTGTTTTTCATTTTAACTTCGCACAAACTTAGTGGACGTAGCAGAGTTTTAATATCACAGCCACGATTTTGCCTTTGTTTTTCACAGAATCGTATCGAATCATTTACGATTTCAGCGTTTTTCAGATTCTTGCAGCTACAACCTGGAACAGTTTTTTCTTTAGATACGAGACAGATTTTACTCTGACTGTTTAAATCCAGAGTCAAAACGGTTCAATCTTGCATTTATCTGCGTTTGACTAAAAGGTTTTTCATTTTTCATTCCTCACTCTTCTCTCCAATTTTAATTTTACGACGATTATTTATGTTTTGATTTGTTTTTATTGTGATTTTAATGTATTTCTTATTCCGTAAAGCACTTTGAATGACTTTGTGTACGAACTGTGCGGTACAAATAAACTTTCCTTGCCTGAAATATATCGAATCTTACTGAATCGAAAGTGCACGTATCTGTATCGAGATCTGTATCGTATCGTATCGGCGAGTTCTTAACGATACTCAGCTCTAAGTGGAAGCAGATTTTTAATGTGATGTTTTTCCTTATCTGTACTTCCTCCTCTGTTCTGATGTTTTGTGGAGAAGAATCGGTGCGTGTGGAGATCTGGTTCGTACCGTCGAAGTGGTTGTCTGGCAGCGTGGGGACGACCTCCTCCCAGAGACCTTTAAGAGGGACCACCTGCGGCAGAAGAAGAAGAAGAAGAAGAAGAAGAAGAAGATCACTGAGAGACCAAAATGTGGATCATCTCGTCTTTGTGCGGATGGAATTTAGATGTAAGTGGACAATGGGAAAAAAAATGAACAAAATGTGACTTTTTTTGTTTTGGTTGTTTCTTTTTTACCCCTGTTCGGTCTGATGCTCTTCTCTGTTCCTCTGAGCTTCTCCTCTGCTCCTCTGTTCCTCTGTTCTTCTGATGTTCTCCTCTGTTCCTGACCTTTTCCTCTCCTCTAACCCGCTCCTCTGCTCCTCCATTCCTTTGCTCCTCTGACCCTCTCCGCTTCTCCTCTGCTCCTTTGATGCTCTTCTCTGTTCCTCTGACCTTCTCCTCTGCTCCTCTGCTCCATCTGACCTCTCCTCTGCATCTGCTCAGTCTGACCATCTCCTGTGCTCCATCTGAACCTCTCTTTTGCTCCATCTGACCTTCTCTACGACTTCTCTGACCTTCTCCTCTGTTCCTCTGCTCCATCTGACCCTCTGCTCCTCTGATGAGCTCGTCTGTTCCATCTGACCCTCTTCTCTGTTCCTCTGACCTTCTCCTCTTGTCCTTTGCTCCATTTGACCTCCTTTGGTCCTCTGCTCCATCTGACCTTCTCCTCTGCTCCTCTGTTCCTCTGACTCTCGCTTCTGTTCCTCTGACCTTCTCCCCTGTTCCTCTGCTCCATTTGACCTCCCCTACGCTTCTCTGACGCTCTCCTCTGACCCTCTCCTCTGACCTCTCCTCTGACGCTCTCCTCCTGACCCTCTCCTCTGACCCTCTCCTCTGACCCTCTCCTCTGACCTCTCCTCTGACCCTCTCCTCTGACCCTCTCCTCTGACCCTCTCCTCTGACCCTCTCCTCTGACGCTCTCCTGTGCTCCATCGTTCTTTTAGTACATTCACAAGTTCTCATCTGCGTAAATCTGGCCCATCTCAATCAAACAAACACGTCTCTGGACCGGCGTGTCGGACCCCGGAGCCTCGTACCTTGTGCGGCTGTGACTTGGCCCAGTTCTCCAGGCGGGCGAACACTCCGTCGTTACACTCGATGATCCAGTGCTCCTCGATGGGGAACGACTCCACTTTGGTGGCGGCGATGGCCATGCCGAAGCCGATCTCCAGGACACGCCCACCTGCACACACACCGACGAGCATCACAACCAGTCCAGTCTGCAGGTTCTGTCTGTGTCTCAATGTGAAAACAATATCTCAATCTTTTTTACTCACAGAAACAAAAACACACACATAGTAACAAGACATGAAAGCTTAATGTACAGGAAAAGTAATAAATAAAATGTAAAAATAAACAATTAAAACATATATCAACAGTGCTGGGGAGTAATGGATTACATGTAACTGGGATTACGTAATCAGAGTACAATTGATGAGTAACTGTATTCAGTTACAGTTACAGTTTCAGTGAGTGGTAATTGGATTACAGTTACTTTGTTGAAATAAATGGATTACACAGACAGGATTTTACTGTTTTCACATTTTGAGCCATATCCCTACCTTTTTTTTGGGGGGGATATAGCTCAAGTCTACACTAGATCTAAACCAAGACTAAAACCAGATCTAAACCAGGTCTAAACCAAGACTAAAACCCAGGTCTAAACCAGGTCTAAACCAGGTCTAAACCAGGTCTAAACCAAGGTCTAAACTAAAAAACCAGAAACTCTAAACCAGGTCTAAACCAGGTCTAAACTAGACTAAACCCAAGGTCTAAACTAAACCAGATCTAAACCAGGTCTTAAACTAGATCTAAACTAGAGAAACTAAACCAGGTCTAGGTCTAAACCAGGTCTAAACCAGGTCTAAACCAGGTAAACTAAACCAGGTCTAAACCAGTCTAAACTAGCCTCCTGGTTTTAGTCCTGGTTTTGTCCTGGTTTTAGACCTAGTTTATCTCTAGTTTAGCTCTAGTTAAAATCTAGTTTAGACCTGGTTTAGTTTCCAGCAACGAGTGGAATTACCGAAAAAAATAAAATAACAAAAGGGGGATACAGCCCAAAATGTGAAAACAGGAAAATCCCGCCGTGTAATCCATTTATTTCAACAAAGTAACTGTAATCCAATTCCCACTCACTGAAACAGTAACTGTAACTGAATACAGTTACTCATCATTTGTACTCTGATTACATAACTCTGGTACATGTAATCTGTTACTCCCCAACACTGGCTGTATCGGACGGTTGTGGTGAAGAGGAGCTGAGTCTCGATTTACCGTCAGTCTGTTCCTCCCCTCACCTCTGGTCATGAGCTCTGGGTCATGACCCCAAGACCCGACCCTGGATACGTGGATTTTTAAGATGTTGAGCAGGCGCCTCTTCACCTCTATGGAAGATTCACTGTTTTTGAACGAAATCTCCAAACTTCTGATCCACAAACGTTGAACCTTCTCATAGAAAACTCTAAACTCTCCCAGAAAACTGCCCCTTGTGGCTTAAAGTTCTCCCGCTTTCTGAGACTATTGTCAATGAATAATGTCACTTTTGTCGAGTTACACTGACAGACGGCATGAGTTAAGTATAAACCAGGTCCGCAAATCTGCAACCTCCAAGTTACCACAGCAAATTTCACAACAGAAGTGAAGCTAGAACGACCTTTTAATCGGATTAGACCCTTTCACGAGTCACATGTTTAGAATAGACTGACAATAACAATCTGCCGTCTTCGTTTTAACTGAACAACAGAGTAAAAGAAAAAAAAATCTTTAATGCAATCGGTAGTTGCTAGGGGTGTGCAAAAATATCAATATATCGTATCGTTTAATGTGCTGATACAGTATCGATTTTGTGGGCTGCTGTATCGATATATCGTCAAGAGTATTTTAGGTATATTTTCACTAAATTAGTTTGTGTAAGAGCTGCAGTTGTGTTGACATTTTCACTGTATTGCCAATTATTTTTAAGTCTATTTTTAAATTATTTTAAGCTATTATTTATTATCTGTGTTGCCTTTTCCTGCTGTTCTGAAATTGTGCGTTGCAACACTGGAATTTCCCCACTGTGGGACTAATAAAGGCAAATCTTATCTTATTGAGTAAAATGGATGTTTTTCACAAACTTAGTGGACTTTTAGTATTAGAGGCATCGTTTAGCCTCTTTTACACTGTACCGTATCGGATTGATGTGAAATATATTGTATCGAATCGTATTAAATGGAAAGCTCACTGTATAGAAAAGCGTATCGTATCGTGGCCTATGTATCGAGATATGTATTGTATCGGTAACTTCTTAACGATACCCGGCCCTAGTAGTTGCAAGCCTCATATAATCGAACTCTCCACCTCGAGGCAAAGCAGTATCGACCAAGCCTACGATTCTCACAAAGTATCACTTAAAGGTTGTATAGAGGATTTTTTTAAGGGAAGAGAAATACAGCGACAGTCCTTGTGCGCGTTCAGAATTACTGTTGAAGTTTCCTGTGTAGAAGTAATTCAGCGACCGACGCGTCAGTTTTTAGACCCTTCGTCCTGCTTCGGTCGCGCCATCGCTGGACGAGATCTCCAAGAATCACCTCAGTTTGGCTTTGCTCCTTTTCCTCTTCTCTTCTTCTTTCAGCGACCTCAAAAACGGACTTTCTTTTGCGGCGAACCGGTCGTGGATTCTCGTCCGCCGTCGCGACAAACTTTGTGCGAAATGCGAGGAAGCGACAGTTCGAAAATGCCTCTAAGAACCGCTGCGTAAACCACGTAATCCCGCGCTCCGACGAGTCAGTTACACTAGGGAGTTTGATTGACAACCAACAGCCAATAGAAAATGAGGGAGCCTCGTTTTCTATTGGCTGATGTTTATCTGGCCTCAACACGTCCACAGTTGATAGATTTTCGTTCTTTTTTTTTTTGGTCATCATAATTACAAAGCTGCTGCGTCTCTGTAATGGTATTTTAAACTTTCACTGACAGTTTGAAACTAAAAAAAATCCTCCATACAACCTTTAAAGAACACATACTGAGCTTGTGCTCTGTAGTTATAATCTATGACACTCCTGCATCATTCTGTTATAATTTCAACATTTTAAATCACAGTATTCATCTAAAAAGACTTCACGACGTCGCACTAGAGCAGAGCATTAAAACGTTTGGACTAAATTACGTGATGCTGTAAGAATCCTTCGTTTATCACCGATTAAGGAAATAAAATTGAAGAGCAAAGAAAGTACAGAACAAATGGCATGTACTTTTACTTTCAGAATAGATCCGCTTTCAACTTTAAACGGACATGTTCTACATAAGGGACTGGTTGTGTATTAGGGATGGGCATGATTAATCGATAATTGATCATTAAGAATTTCATCGATTACGTTAATTTTAATCGACAAACCGAATGTAGTTTGCTGTGTGTATCGTGACCAAACAGGTGTGTACATGTGTCTCTGCATCAGAAGGAGCGAGACACAAACAGTGGGTCAGTCTGTAACGAACCGAAGCACAAATGTGGATTTAACGATGATTTGTACAAGAAATTCCACACTTTCCGTTGCGTTGGGACAAGTGTGAGTCCATGTGCACAGTGTATAAAGCAGCACATATGTTTCTGTGTCCAGTGGGAAAAAGTTTTACCAGGTGAGAGTCGCTCAATGTGGATGACGAGGCCCCGCCCCCCTCCCCCCGTACGCTGTCCTGGTTTTGACAAACACAAATCTGGTCACACTAACCTGTATTCACCTGAGTCATGTCTTTTAATCCAACAGAAATTGAACCACATCAGCGACACAAGAGCTGGAGTTTTATCTTCACTTAGTTTTTGCAAATTATCGATGTGGTTTTAAGTTTTGTTTCTGTGAGATTTGAACAAAACTGAATTAAACACATTATAATGTCAAACAGCTGATGTGGCTCTAGAGTCGTTACGGTTTATATGTCGTAAAGTTGAATTTATTTATGCAGATTAGTAGTGCAGATAGTAATAATAATGATGATCATTTTAATATAAAAACGTTAATGATTAATCGATAATCGATCGTTAATTCTTCCGACGATCGATTAAGAAAATTTCATCGAATGCCCGTCCCTATTGTGTATATCCTCTCAATGAAAGTGTCAGAGGTAAATTGACTTTTGTTGTGAGAGAAGAACAGAACAATGCCTGTCGTTTGCTTATTCTTGTCAGAAGATAGTTTATATCTTTAGGACTGTATCGTGAAAACTACGGGCCCCTGAGAACATAGAACACAGGGCCCCGGGAGCGGCCCTGCTGGACGGCCACAGCACTAGAAAAGGTCAGTTGCATTTATTTTCTTGAGAAGCTTATAAATAGACTTGGCATTTCAGCTCCAGCTGTACTATATAACAGCATAAAGCCGAGTAAATGTTCTGCACACAGCTCCGCGTGTGAGAAATTATGAAAATTATGCAGAAAACTAAAGCTCTGTCAGTAAAGAGAAAACTGTCAGTGTATAAGGCCCAGGATGTAAAGTGTCCTGCAGCCGTTTGTGTGGAGCCTGTTGATTTGCACTCGGTCTGAAGGTGCATGTTCCCTCTCCACACTGCTGCTATGTACGTACGACCAGTGTTGTAGGTGCATGTGTTGGGAAGGTGACTTTTAAAATGTAATCCCCTACAGATTACAGATTACATACCCCAAAATGTAGTTTGTAACGTAATCCAGTAAATTACTTAAAGTGAGTAATGTAATCTGATTACTTTGGATTACTTGATTTGCTGTAGAGAAACAAAGACGAGGAAATCGTAACATAAGAAGTTTTGTTGCTAAAAGAAAATAAAAAGCCCAGACTTTACTGAACCAAATTAAAAATATTATTGATAGTTTAGTCCTGTTAAATCCTGTTAAATCCTGTTAAAACCTGATTTAGTCCTGGTTAGTCCTGGTTTTAGTCCTGGTTTAGACTTGGTTTTAGACCTGTTTCAGACCTGGTTTAGATCTGGTTTAGTCCTAGTTTAGTCCTGGTTTAAACCTGTTTTAGTCCTGTTTTAGTCTTGTTTTAGTCCTGGTTTAGTCCTGGTTTTAGTCCTGGTTTTAGTCCTGATTTAGATCTAGTTTAGACCTGGTTTTAGTCCTAGTTTCCTGTTTTAGTCCTGTTTAGACCTGGTTTAGTCTTTTAGTCCTGTTTAGAGTTTAGTCCTGGTTTAGTTTAGTCCTGGTTTAGACCTGGTTTATTTTCCGGCAATGAGTGGAATTACTGAGAGAAAAAAAAAGGGGGGATATAGCCTAAAGTGTGAAAACAGTAAAATCCCTCTGTGTAATCCATTTATTTCAACAAAGTAACTGTAATCCAATTACCACTCACTGAAACAGTAACTGTAACTGAATACAGTTACTCATCATTTGTACTCTGATTACATAACTCCGGTACATGTAATCTGTTACTCCCCAACACTGGTTGTGGGTGCTGGTGTTGGTGCTGGTGTCGTGGGTGCTGGTGTCGTGGGTGCTGGTGTTGTGGGTGCTGGTGTCGTAGGTGCTGGTGTCGTAGGTGCTGGTGTTGTAGGTGCTGGTGTCGTGGGTGCTGGTGTCTGTGGTGCTGGTGTCGTGGGTGCTGGTGTCGTGGGTGCTGGTGTCGTGGGTGCTGGTGTCGTGGGTGCTGGTGTCTGGTGCTGGTGCTGGTGTCGTGGGTGCTGGTGTCGTAGGTGCTGGTGTCGTGGGTGCTGGTGTTGTAGGTGCTGGTGTCTGTAGGTGCTGGTGTTGTAGGTGCTGGTGTTGTGCTGGTGTTGTGCTGGTGTCGTGGGTGCTGGTGTCGTGGTGTGGTGTCTGGTGTCGTGGTGCTGGTGTCGTGTGCTGAGGTGCTGGTGTCTGGTGTGGTGCTGGTGTCGTGGTGTGTGGTGTGGTGTGTGCTGTGGTGTCTGGGTGCTGGTGTGGGTGCTTGTGTGGGTGCTGGTGTCTGTGGTGTGTGTGTGTGTGTGGTGTCTGGTGCTGGTGTTGTAGGTGCTGGTGTTGTGGGTGCTGGTGTTGTGGGTGCTGGTGTTGTAGGTGCATGTAGGCGTTGTTCTTACACACTTGCCTCGTGTGAACCTTTAAGGGTGCCCGAGGTCTCCCACTGTGTCCTGTAGAGTACATGTTCTTATAAGGGTGCTCTCCTCCCACACAGCTCCAGGATGGATTATTTTACTTCACTCTGAACTGGACTGAACCAGCCCCTCTGCCCAAGACTTTGGCAGCTCCATCTCCAGTACATCTACACATGCCCATCGCCCCACCGTCCAATCAGGACCCTGCGCTCTGACCACACCTCTGCGGTGGTCCCAGGTGGAGGAGGAGGGTGATGGCGCCTTTTAAGTTTAAGATCCTAAACCTTCCTCCTGAACTGTGGTCTATTATTGATGCAAGGCTGCAGGTTCATACACATTAGTCTTCCTAGGGTGCATGTTGGTACACACTAGTCTTCCAAGGGTGCATGTTCGTACACACTAGTCTTCCTAGGGTGCATGGTCGTACACACACTTGTCTTCCTAGGGTGCATGTTCGTACTTTCTCATCTCCTAGAGTGCATGTTTGTAAACAGTAGTCTTCTTAGTGTGCATGTTTGTACACACTAGTCTTCCTAGGTTGCATGTTCGTACACACACTTGTCTCTGAGGTACATTTTCATACACACTTGCCTTCCTAGAGTGTATGTTGTCACACATTTGTCTTCTAGGATGCATGCTCATACACTCTTGTCTCTTAGGGCGCATGTTCGTACACTCTTGTCTCACACACTTGTCTTTTTGGGTGCATATTTGTACACACTTATCCTCCTAGGGTGCATGTTTGTACACACTAGTCTTCCTAGGGTGCATGTTCGTACACACTAGTCTTCCTAAGGGTGCATGTTCGTACACACTAGTCTTCCTACACTAGTCTTCCTAGGGTGCATGTTTGTACACACACTTGTCTCCTAGGGTGCATGTTTGTATTTTCTCACTTCCTAGGGTGCATGTTCGTACACACTAGTCTTCCTAGGGTGCATGTTCGTACACACTAGTGTCTCCTAGGGTGCATGTTTGTACACACTAGTCTTCCTAGGGTGCATGTTTGTACACTCTTGTCTTCCTAGGGTGCAATTCATACACTCTTGTCTTCCTAGGGTGCATATTTGTACACTCTTGTCTTCCTAGGGTGCATGTTGTACACTCTTGTCTTCCTAGGGTGCATATTTGTACACTCCTGTCTTCCTAGGGTGCATGTTCATACACAGTAGTCTTCCTAGGGTGCATGTTTCTACACTTTTGTCTCTTAGTGTGCATGTTCGTACACTCTTGTCTTCCTAGGGTGCATGTTTGTACACTCTTTTCTTCTTAAGGTGCATATTTCTACACTCTAGCCTCCTAGGTGCATGTTTGTACAATTTTTTCTCTTATGGTGCATGTTTGTACACTCTTGCCTCACACACTTGTCTCCTAGGGTGCATCTACATACACACTTGTCTCTTAGGATGCATGTTCATACACTCTTGCCTTCCTGGAGTGCATGTTGTCACACATTTGTCTCTAGGGTGCATGTTCGTACACTCTAGTCTTCTTAGGGTGCATGTTCGTACACACTTGTCTCTGGGGTGTGTCCGTGTCTGTTTTCAAAGCGGCAGACGAGCTGTTTCTCTGCAGGATTTTGGCTCGGTGTGGTGAGTGGAGCCGACAGCTGCAGAGAGTCACACCACAGCCTCACACGTACACACACACACACACACACACACACACACACCGAGAGAGAGGAGCGTGCACGTGTCTCCTACTACACGTCGCCTACTACAACTCTGATAACAGCACGTGCTCGGGAAACTCCACTAATCTACTTTTGATTTGTTCTATTTAAAACCACAAACCCAAGAAGGAGCAGTTCAACCTGAAAAACTACTGCACAGAGTTTGAACAGAACATAAATAAGCGACTAAAAAGAGTGAAACATGCTGGGAAACAGAGCATATGTTTTCTTTGTAGGACACAACTGTAGAATGAATGAAAATAAACCAATGCATAAAATTTATTCAACTTCTTATTAACATATTACAGCAATTTCTTCACAACATATTCGAGCAATTTCTTCACCAGTTCTTAAACGTGACTATCCCAAAAATATGCACTGTTTATTTTGTTTTGAACGCCAGTGATTGCATAAATGATCTCATAATCCAAGCTTTTGACAACTGTGCTCATACAACAGGAGCAGATTTACGAAGAAGAATTATGTTTATATTCTGATCTAATATCTGCACTGAGCTTTTTGTTTGAATAAATTAAGAAAAAGAGCTTAACTTGCTATTTAAACTCTCAAAAAACCCAAATATTACGCAAAAACTCCATGCGTAATCCGTAAAGACATGATTCCATTATCGGACAGCTCGTGAAAAAGCGGTCCAGTGTCCGATAATGGAACCCGCGCTTGCTTGGAGTTACCTTTGGACGCGGCGACGGTGGCCAGCGAGTGCATGTACGGAGTCTCCCAGCGCTCCATCACGGGTTTGCCCATGATCTCCAGGTGCGTGTCGGCCTCGTTGTAGCCGGCGCTCGCATCGTGCCAGGCGGCCTTGCAGTCCTCCCCCTTGGAGAAGATGGGCTGTGCGGCGGTGGTCATGGCGGAGGCTTGGACGGAGCTCGAGAGGAGTCTGGGCGCGCGCAAGAGGCAGACCCAGGGCCGCACGAGAGTTTTATCGACTCCAAAGTGCTGACGGGACAAGAATTTAACTACGGGTCAAAAGCACACGCGCACGCACGCACGCACGCAGCGCCGATCACGCACAGAGCCGAAGATCATCTCGGGACAACAACGACGACTCACTAGTCCCGTTTGAGAAATGGGGACAAGGAAGAGTAATCACTTTGGAAATATTGAAATACGTCTCTGTTGAACCGGGATAGTCCCAGTTTTGAGCTCGGTGTCCCCTGTCCCAGCAGATTTACCCAAAGCCACTGATTTGTCCCAGTTTTTATTCAAGAAATGTCCCAAGTGTCACTTACTGGACAATTTTGACACCTCCAAACAGTAAAGAGAGGCTTAAATTGTCATATGTTTAAGTAAAATATAGAAAAAAACTGATTAAAAATAACCAAAACCCACAGAAATGTCCCAAGTATCACTATTTTTAAACAATTTAATGCCTGCAAACAATAAAGAGAAGCATAAACTGTTTATTATTTATGTAAAATACAGAAAAGCTGCTTAAAAACGACCAAAACACAAAGAAATGTCCCAAGTGTAACTTTTTTTTTTTTTTTTTTTTTTTACCAATTTGACATCTGCAAACAACAAAAATGGGCTTAAATTGTCATATATTTAGGTAAAATACAGAAAAAGCTGCTTAAAATGACCAAAACCCCCCAAAATGTTCCAAGTGTCCTGATTTTTGACCATTATGACACTTGCAAACAAGAAAGAAAGACATAAACTGTTTAATATTTACGTACAATAGAGAAAAGTTGCTTAAAAATTACCAAAACACAAAGAAATGTCCCAAGTGTCACTTTTTTGACCAAGCTGACACCTGCAAACTGTAAAAAGAAGCATAAATCATCATATGTTTAAGTAAAATACAGAAAAAAGTTGATTAAAAATGACCAAAACACAAAGAAATGTCCCAAGTGCCACTTTTTTTTGACAAATTTGACACCTGCAAACAGTAAAAAGAAGCATAAATTGTCCTGTTGTTTGGGTAAAATACAGAAAAGCTGCTTAAAAACGGTCAAAACCCAAAGAAATGTCACAAATGTCCCTATTTTTGACCAATTTGATGCCTGTAAACAATAAAGAAAGGCATAAACTGTAATTTCTGTAGGTAAAATACAGAAAAAAGCTGCTTAAAAACGACCAAAACACAAAGAAATGTCCCAAGTGTCACTTTTTTTTGACCAATTTGACAGTAAAGAGAGGCTTAAATTGTAATTTCTTTAGGTAAAATGCAGAAAAGCTGACCAAAACACAAAGAAAATGTGACTAACTTAACTCTCTGGACAACATTTTTCCTTAATTACGCACTCGTTTCACAATTTTGTTATTACAGATCGCCAAAAAAAACGGGGGTGTCCCAGTTTTTTATTATGAAATTCTGGTCTCAAAACTAAATAAATCTCAAAATGATTCGTGAATAAACATCTGTGTGCCATTAGATCAACCAATCTGCCAAATAATCACGAAATCAGCCGCAACACAAAAGCGTAAAGTTTGATGACGCGCCGCATGATCCGTATCGATAATCAAACATTTCTAAAGTCCGAGCGCATTCCGTGGGTGCTGGGTGGGTGCTGGGTGGGTGCTGGGTGCTCGTGTCCGCTCTCCGGGGACAGCTGGAGTCACCCATGGCACGAGCACGAGCAGGAGCGCGCACGCGGGTCGATAAAGCGTCGAGCGGGTGACACATGTTTGAGGTTCTTCGCTCTTACGTAATGTGAAAGAGAAATGTTGAATCGGACACAAACGCAGGTGTCACAGGTAAAAGACGTGATTGATTGAGTTTTCCTTCGGGATCAATGAAGTATTTTTCTGTCTATTACACACAGGGTGACCAGATTTTCAAAATAAAACAACTGGTTTGTGTTGGTTGGTAATGATAAAAGTGACTGAGTGCGTAATTAAGGAAAATTGTGAGTCACTATAGTCAGATTTTCTTTGTGTTTTGGTCATTTTTAAGCAGCTTTTCTGTATTTTACCTAAACAAATGACAATGTATAAAACACAACGGACTCCAGGCACTCCAAAGAAGTAAAAATCGCACGAGGAAAAGTTTTTATCCTTTTTCCAAGAGCACCCTTTACCTGCTCCCGCTGACTGGAACACCTGCAGCAAACAGCCACGTTTTTGTTTTTAAATGACAAAAATAAGGACACATGGGACATTTCTTGTACAAAACTGGGACAAATTAATGGTTCTGTATAAATCTGGGACAGGGGACCATCCTAACCTGATTCATCAGCCGGTTTCACTTTGTGGAAACCGTCTGACCTCGCAGCATTGGGATTTGTTCACTTGACGGTAGACGGGTACTTTTTTTATTTAACCAATCGCTGCTGTTTGGTCATGACGTATGTAAGGCGCTGCTAACGGGACAAACTGGTATATTAAGCTTTTCCCAAATCTCGTACAAAGAAGGGCAATAACGTCTTTCCCCTTGATAAAATTCACCAAACATTCTCTTTGTTCTGGATTTAAATCCTCGATCTGGGGAATCGTTGCCAACACAAAATGTCTGGTTCTTCGCTGATTCACTGGTGCTCGAACTCGCACTTCTGGGGTTCTTGCAAACTGTGTAGTGTTTTCTGATTCCTGACCTAGTCACTGGAGGGAAATAAAATTGAGCGGAGGCACTAGGTGACACCAGCCTGACTAGGACCATCCATTTTCTTCTGATTATCCGGTTTAAGCAGGGACTCCAAGACTTTCTTCACTCCGGACACGTCCTCCAGCTCCTCTGTGGGGACTCCGAGGTGTTCCCAGGCCAGCCCAGAGACATAGTCCCTCCAGCGTGTCCTGAGTCTTCCCTGAGGCCTCCTCCACATGCCCAGAACACCTCCAGAGGGAGCTGAAGCCACCTCAGCTGGCTCCTGGTCCAATGAGTTTCATTTGGTCTTCTGATATTTTATGTTATATGGTGGAGGAGCTGGAGGACGTGTCTTGGGTGAAGGAAGTCTGGGAGATAAGCGGAAGAAAATGGATGGATGGATATTTTATGTTCTTAGGTTCTTTTTTTCAGACCAAGTGTTTGTTTTCATACCTGACAGTTTTGACTGCTCCCTGCGGTCTTCCTCAGAGTCACGTGATGTTGCTGTGACGTGTCGTTCAACTAATTTTTCGTTCAACTAAGTTTTGGCGCTGTTTTCCTACCAGTGGAGGCAGGACGACAGCGCCACCTGCAGTCCCACTTCCTCAGGACAGTATCCCAGGTGTGTGAGAGTAAAAAAGCCCCTCGTCCCGGTTTATCATTCACAGCAACATCTCGTGACTCTGAGGAAAACCTGAAACTGTCAGGTCTGAAAACAAACTCTTGGTCTGAAAAAAGAACCTAATCACATAAATCAGCTGCTCCTCTCGACATGGAGGAGCATCGTCTCTACTCCAAGCTCCTGACTCTATCTCTTAAGAGCGCCCAGCCACCTGGTGGAGAAAACTCATTTTCGTCGCTTGTATCCACGATCTCACGTTGTAGCTCTTCTTCTTCACTTGCCGCTCGATCGGTCCGTCGGAAAATAGAGTCCTGCGGTCACTTCCGTTGTGGCTTTTTGATTTGTTGTGGCTTTTTAATGTGTTGCGGCTTTTTAATGTGTTGTGGCATTTGCGTTTGTGTTGTGGCGTAATATAGAGTCTCGCTGTCATTTCCGTTGTGGCTTTTTTTGGTGTGTTATGGCTTTTTGTTGTGTTGTCACATTTGTATTTGTTGCGGCGTTTGCGTTTGTTGTGACCCCTCTCGGCTTCCTGTACTCACCTGACTACTGTTTTTATTTACATATAATTGGGGTTAAGAGTCCAATCTCGACACTTGTTATTGTTTGTTCCAATGTAAATTGCCTGTTATTTTGTACTTTTGGCAATAGAGTTCTAAAAAACCCCAAAACAAAACCATAAATCAACTGGTTCTTCTTGACGTGGAGGAGCAGCGTCTCTACTCCAAGTTCCTCACTTTATCTCTAAGGGAGCGCCCAGCCCCCTGCAGAGGAAACAAATTTGTGCCGCTTGTATCCGCGATCTCGTCCTTTCGTTCATTACCCAGAGCTCATGACCAGAGGTGAGGGAAGGAACGTAGATTGAGGATAATTCGACATCTTTTTCATTCGACTCAGCTCCCTCTTCACCACAACGGTCCGATACAGCGACCGGAGGACACAAGACTCAAAACTGGGACTGTCCCGGGTAGAAAAAAACGTCTGGTCACCCTAATTAAACACTGTCTAACGTCTTGTGGTGCTGGTTTAGATTTTCTTACCAGAGGCGCCACATATTAAGTAGTTACCATAAATTGGGCTCATAACAGTTGAACAGAAAAGAAAAGTTTTAGTTTATATCCAGTTTATTCCTCCAACGTTTCATGGAACTGTATGTAGTCTGCTCTCTTACAGTTTTAATATTACAATACTGTCACCTGCAGACGGAGACGCATCCAAGTTTGTCTCATTCTAAGTTTATGTTCAGGCCTCATGTACGGAAGCCGAGAGGGGTCACAACAAACGCAAACGCCGCAACAAATACAAATGCGACAACACAACAAAAAGCAACAACACACCAAAAAAAAGCCACAATGGAAATGACAGCGAGACTCTATATTAATGCAAAGGCCGCAACAAATACAGACGCCACAACACAAACGCCACAACACAACAAAAAGCAACAACACACCAAAAAAGAGCCAAAACGGAAATGACCGCGGGACTCTATTTTAATGCAAGCGCCACAACACATTAAAAAGCCGCAACACATTAAAAAGCCGCAACACATTAAAAAGCCACAACGGAAGTGACCGCAGGACTCTATTTTCCGACGGCCCGATCAAGCGGCAAGTGAAGAAGAAGAACTACAACGTGAAATGAATAATGATAAAACAATAAATTACTTTTACTTACGTTTCCAACTTCTCCGTTCCTTTACTTTTCACGTTGTAGTTCTTCTTCTTCACTTGCCGCTTGATCGGTCAGTCGGAAAATAGAGTCCCGCTTTCACTTCCGTTGTGGCTTTTTGTGTGTTGCGGCTTTTTAATGTGTTGCGGCGTTTGCATTAAAATAGAGTCCTGCGGTCACTACCGTTGTGGCTTTTTGTTGTGTTGTCGCATTTGTATTTGTTGCGGCATTTGCGGTTGTTGTGACCCCTCTCGGCTTCCGTAGGTGAGGCATACAAATAAAAAAAAAAATTTTTAAAAATCAGTAAACTAAAGATGGTACATGCGACCATCGCCTTAGAAAAATATCCATTTTCACTTGCCGCTTGATCGGTCCGTCGGAAAATAGAGTCCCGCAGTCACTTCCGTTGTGGCTTTTTAATGTGTTGTGGCTTTTTAATGTGTTGCAGCATTTGCGTTTGTATTTGTTGCGCCGTTTGCATTAAAATAGAGTCCCGCAGTCATTTCCATTGTGGCTTTTTTTGGTTTGTTGTGGCTTTTTTTTGGTGTGTTGTGGCTTTTTTTTTGGGTGTGTTGTGGCTTTTTTTTTGTGTGTTGTGGCTTTTTTTGTGTGTTGTGTTTTTTTTGTGTGCTTTTTTTTGGTGTGTTGTGGCTTTTTTTTGGTGTGTTTTTTTTGGTGTGTGTGTGTGTTTTTTTTTGTGGCTTTTTTTTGTTGTTTGGGTGTGTTTGGGCTTTTTTTTGGTGTGTTGTGGCTTTTTTGTTTTTTTTGACTTTTTTTGATTTGTTGTGGCTTTTTGTTGTGTCGTGCGTTTGTATTTGTTGCGGCGTTTGCATTTGTTGTGACCCCTCTCGGCTTCCGTACTCATGTGAAGCTCAGAACCTCCAGAATTCCCTCCCTGAGCTGCAAAGGCCGCACTAGCACTGTGTGACTGTTCAGATCAGAGAGATGCGTTTTAACTCACTGGATTTCAGCGCTGAACCTGGCAAATGTGAGACTCGTTCTGCTTTCTGATTGGATAAGAACCAAAACACCAAATTCTAACATAAACAACTAGTCCATCATGCCCAGTGTTTTTGTGTTTAATCATAAATCAGTTTCACAATAGTTTTCAGTAAAAGCTCTGTTTGAATTGAACGTGAAATATCTCATGTTTTTCTAATTCTGACCTGGTTTGGTGGATAGAACCTGTGGTCAATATCAGTCTGTGTGAAAAACCTGAGATAAAAAGTTTAAAAAATCTGCCTCTTGGTCTCTTCCTGAATGTTCCCTGTTCAGTTCATTAAACTGTTCATGTGTTTGTGCGTCTGTTTTATCTCTTCTGTATTAGAGATGCGTCTGTGCGACTTTATACGGCTCACTTTGGGGTCAGAGGTCAGAGGTCCGGGGTCTGGTCAGGGACGTTTCATAAGGTCAAGTAGATAAAGCATCTCTTCAATATCAGCTCAAAGTTCACAAAATGATGTTACTCATTACCCAGGATGAGGAATCCTTAACTGAACCAGGTCTGAACCAGGACTAAACCAGGTCTGAACCAGGTCTGAACCAGGTCTGAACCAGGACTAAACCAGGTCTGAACCAGGTCTGAACCAGGTCTGAACCAGGACTGAACCAGGTCTGAACCAGGACTGAACCAGGACTAAACAGGTCTGAACCAGGACTGAACCAGGACTAAACCAGGTCTGAACCAGGACTGAACCAGGACTAAACCAGGTCTGAACCAGGACTGAACCAGGTCTGAACCAGGTCTGAACAAGGACTAAACCAGGTCTGAACCAGGACTGAACCAGGACTAAACCAGGTCTGAACCAGGTCTGAACCAGGTCTGAACCAGGACTGAACCAGGTCTGAACCAGGACTGAACCAGGACTAAACCAGGTCTAAACCAGGACTGAACCAGGACTAAACCAGGTCTGAACCAGGACTGAACCAGGTTTGAACCAGGTCTGAACCAGGTCTGAACCAGGACTGAACCAGGTCTGAACCAGGACTGAACCAGGTCTGAAGCAAGACTAAACCAGGTCTAAACCAGGTCTTAACCAGGACTAAACCAGGACTAAACCAGGTCTGAACCAGGACTGAACCAGGTCTGAACCAGGTCTGAACCAGGACTGAACCAGGACAAAACCAGGTCTGAAGCAGGACTAAACCAGGACTAAACCAGGACTAAACCAGGACTAAACCAGGACTAAACTAGGACTGAACCAGGACAAAACCAGGTCTGCAGCAGAACTAAACCAGGAGGGTATAGTCTTCTATATAAACAGTGTTTTTTATATACATGTCCTGCATTCTATATATGTACGTAAACTATTCTATATACACACAGTGTTCTACTGTATATACGCACACACAGAGTTATATACATGTACAGAGTTATATACATGTACAGAGTTATATACATGTACAGTGTTATATACATGTACAGTGTTATATACATGTACAGTGTTATATACATGTACAGTGTTATATACATGTACAGAGTTATATACATGTACAGTGTTATATACATGTACAGTGTTGTATACATGTACAGTGTTATATACATGTACAGAGTTATATACATGTACAGAGTTATATAAATGTACAGTGTTATATACATGTACAGAGTTACATACATGTACAGTGTTGTATACATGTACAGTGTTGTATACATGTACAGTGTTATATACATGTACAGAGTTATATAAATGTACAGTGTTATATACATGTACAGAGTTACATACATGTACAGTGTTATATACATGTACAGTGTTGTATACATGTACAGAGTTATATAAATGTACAGTGTTATATACATGTACAGAGTTACATACATGTACAGTGTTGTATACATGTACAGTGTTGTATACATGTACAGAGTTATATAAATGTACAGTGTTGTATACATGCACAGTGTTATATACATGAACAGAGTTATATACATGTACAGTGTTATATACATGTACATGTTACAGTGTTGTATACATGTACAGTGTTACATGTATATACATGTACAGTGTTATATACATGTACAGTGTTGTATACATGTACAGTGTATACATGTACAGTGTTATATACATGTACAGTAGTTATATACATGTACAGTGTTATACATGTACAGTACATGTATACATGTACAGTGTTGTATACATGTACAGTGTTATATACATGTACAGTGTTTATATACATGTACAGTGTGTATATTACATGTACAGTGTTATATACATGTACAGTGTTATATACATGTACAGTGTTGTATACATGTACAGTGTTATATACATGTACAGTGTTGTATACATGTACAGTGTTATATAAATGTACAGTGTTGTATACATGTACAGTGTTATATACATGTACAGTGTTATATACATGTACAGTGTTATATACATGTACAGTTATATACAGTACATGTTGTATACATGTACAGTGTTGTATACATGTACAGAGTTATATAAATGTACAGTGTTGTATACATGTACAGAGTTATATACATGTACAGTGTTATATACATGTACAGTGTTATATACATGTACAGTGTTGTATACATGTACAGTGTTGTATACATGTACAGTGTTATATAAATGTACAGTGTTGTATACAGTACAGTGTTATATACATGTACAGTGTTGTATACATGTACAGTGTTATATACATGTACAGTGTTGTATACATGTACAGTGTTATATACATGTACAGTGTTGTATACATGTACAGTGTTATATACATGTACAGTGTTGTATACATGTACAGAGTTACATACATGTACAGTGTTATATACATGAACAGTGTTATATACATGTACAGTGTTATATACATGTACAGTGTTGTATACATGTACAGTGTTGTATACATGTACAGAGTTATATAAATGTACAGTGTTGTATACATGTACAGAGTTATATACATGTACAGTGTTATATACATGAACAGAGTTATATACATGTACAGTGTTATATACATGTACAGTGTTGTATACATGTACAGTGTTGTATACATGTACAGAGTTACATACATGTACAGTGTTATATACATGTACAGTGTTATATACATGTACAGTGTTATATACATGTACAGTGTTATATACATGTACAGTGTTGTATACATGTACAGTGTTATATAAATGTACAGTGTTGTATACATGTACAGTGTACAGTGTTGTATATACTCATGCATAGTCCTTTATATATAAATATGTAAACAGTGTTTTTTTTAGTTTCCTGAGACCTGGAAAAGTCATATAAGTTTGTTTTTCTTCATATAAATCAAGAACATAAGAAAAAAAATAATATTCTCTTTTTATCAAAAACCTGACACGAGCTCTGCAGAGCACAACATGACTTTGTTCTTTGTGATTGTGAAAAGTAGTAATAATAACTGACATGTTTAAGCAGTATACTGTATCTAAACAATATTGAACAAGGCAACACAAGTTCAGTTTAAGTGAGCAGCACGTGGTTCTTTAACCTCACACGGATCATTTGCACAACCTAGCGGCAGACTGTAGAATAAATGTAATAAACTATAACGTGTGTAAACAGCAGTAGAGCTTTGAAATGTTATTTTATCCTCTTGTCCTTGATCCTTGCTCCATAAAGAGTTTCCTCTAGAATTCCTCTGTTCGGACTCACTGTGCAGTTGCGCACTGCACAGATGGTAAATAATAATTATCTCGAAATCTTAGAGATTTGCCCAGAGACAACTTTTCCCAGTTGTAAAAATAATGTCTTATATAGTCACTTTTAGCCGTGTAGCCTAATTTAAGCCTGGGTGTGTGTTTAGGCAAAGAAGACCAATTTGTCCAATAACGCTCCTTTCTAGTTGGTTGAGCGTGTTTCTGAGCAAAGTGAGCGGAGCAGTCCGTGTCCAGCCAATGGGAGCCGGAGTGTCCGCTGAGGTAGAGCCCGTGCGCCTTTAAAGCCCGCAGCTCCTCCGCACCGTGGCACCGGCGTCACTGCGCACACGGAGCCACTTGAAACCCGGAGCGGAGTGACCTTCTCGGCTTCAGTCCGAGTCTCCACCGGTCCCACCGACACTCGCGCTCCAGCCTCAGACATGAATAACAACTTAGTGGGAGATGAAGTCGGGTAAGAGCTTTTATTTCCCCGCGGTCCGCGGAGACACGCGCTGGAATTACGCGCTAATTGAAAGTTTGCGCACTCGTGTGGATCTGTCATCTGACAGCTAGCGCTACAGCTAGCCTAGCCGCGCTAGCCCGGAGAGTGAGTGCGTTAGCCCGGTGCACCCATGGGTGCTCAGCTCTGTAAACTTGTGTGAAGTAGTGGAGTTGGCGGTGACAGTGCGTGTTTTTCTCGGGGACACACGGTCCTGGAGTCCAGAATGCCCCGCGCTTCCCCCGGAGCCGGGGACAAGTGCACTTTGAGCTTTGAGCGGTGTTTTCGTTAGCTCCGCGGGTTAGCCTAGCCTCGGTCTGCAGCCAAAGTCTCCTCTTGACTTCCCGGAGCGAGGACATTTAGCGGGCACTGAAGGATGCTGCGTCCCGCCGCACGCAGCCTCACACCGCGCTCCTCCCGCACCGTTCCCCCCGCACCGACCGCACCGGCCCCCGCATGACGCCGCACCGGACACGGAACCACCGAGCGGAAGAAAGAAAACGACCGTTTATACAACCGAGAACGTCCTCGTCCGGATCCCAGCCTCCGCGCTCCCTCCGCCGCCGCAGAGCAGCGAGCAGCCGCTCTGCTCCGGCCGGGACGGGGCTCGGACACCGGGGTGGAGGTCGTACACCGGGACTGGGACGGGGTCGTACACCGGGGTGGGGGTTGTGTACCGGGACGGGTTTCGTACACCGCGACCGGGGTCGGGGTTTATACATCGGGACGTCCTGGAGTGAGAGTGGAGCACAGAGCGGCACATGAGCTCACAGATGTTCGGGGTCAGGAGCTCTGTGCGGGCGGGAGGGATGCTGCTGCTGCTGCTCTGTGTCCGTGTCCGTGTCCGTGTGGCTCGTGCGTGTGCTGCGCGGCGGGATGTTGGTCACAGCGGGTGTTTTGGAGGAGGTGAACTGTGAAACACGTGTAACACTAAAGCACCGTGTCACCCCCGCGTGTCTGACGCTGATAACGCGGCCGCAGTGTCTCTCATCGCTCTCTCTCTTTGCAGGAAACTTTTCGTTGGAGGCTTGGACTGGAGTACAACACAAGGTGAGCTCCTCTGCACTCATCTGGATTTACTCTGTTCTACAAACGCCTCACTGAGAACGAGTTTAGAAAAAGCTGCAGTAAGGAACTTTTCTGTTGGAGAGTCTGCACCCGCTCAGCTCCGTGTTATTGCTTTTGCTTAGAATGTTTTAGTATGACATTGAACTTATCCTTCTCCATAGAGGCACAGGCTTTACAGGTCAGATCTGTGGAGAGGCAGACCTGCAGAGATCCCTCCTGTTCACAGTGGTGTTTCAGTGAAGTAGCAGTGGATTATTGTTTGCACGTTTTTAGGATTTTTGATGCCACATGTCAGACCGGGCTCGTTGAATTTTATTATTTTTTATAATTTTTTTATTGCAGTTAGCTCAGGCTTCGGATACAAGGACACAGGATTAGTCAAACATGCGTTGTAACATCTGAAATATAACTTTGAATAAACTAAGAATGAGGGAAAACTGTTTTCAGATAAAGGATCATAAAAGTTGATTTGACGTAATACTTCCTCTTAAAGAACAATGAGCTCCTGCACGTGTTGGAACGTTTGTGTTACTAATTTTTTTGTTAAAGTCGTGGTTTCTGAGGTGGACTTTTCATGAATTCAGCAAAATATTACAGGAGAAACAAAACTCAGCCTTTTTTTTTTTTTTTTTTAAACTAAATAATTTTAAGTGTAATAATATAAATGTATTATTATTATTATTATTATTTTTTTTTTTTATTAATCATAATAATTTATTTTTTTTTTTTAAGTGTAATAATATAAATGTTATTATTATTATTTATTTTTATTTTTTTTACAAATGTGATTGGGTATTTTGAGTTGATTTTGAGTTCTCTGACAGACAATATTATTATACACTGGGTAACATTAAGACGTTGCCGATACGATACACAGCTCTATACACAGGCCACGATACGATACATATCTCGATACAGTGCACTTTTGGTTCAATACGATATATTTCAAATTGATTCGATGCGGTTGAATAAAAAATAATGGTTAAATCTTGGCTGTGATACTAAAAGTCTTTGTTAAACCACCTCATGTGTAAAGTTAAAATAAAACACACCCATTTTAATCACCAAAACAGTAAAAATGTCAAATGTGTTTTATAAACGAGTTTCCTTCCTTTGAACAAGCAACGAAACTGTTACGAAGCTGTAACAAAATGATTTAATAAAATATACCAAAGAAATACTCTGGTGGTACTCTTGGTAATATATTGATACAGCAGCCCACGATATCGATACAGTATCGTCACATTAAACTATATTGATATATAGATTTTCAATATCTTTGCACAGTCCTAGACAATATCAAAGTTGCTGTTTTGTAGCTTCACAAAATGAGAAGGAAAAAAAACGATAAGTGACATTACAGAGTCAAATTTTTGCCACTGAAATAGCGACTCTAAAGCAGGATTATTCCAGTGTTCTTTCTTTGTCTGGAATGTTCCACGGTATGGCATTAAAATGAACGATACGTATGTAACTGCGGTTCTATGAATCCCAGATGACGGCCAGAGGGCGATGCTGAAAACACTGAGTGTTCCCGTTGCACGTGGAACTAGAACATGGAAACTAGAACTGCACTTATATCTCCACAGAGAAAAGCAGGCCAAGTTACAGGTCAGATCTGTGGAGAGGCGACCCTGTTTACAGTGACACAGATTGCCCCAGCGTTTTTGAGAGGTTGGGACAAATGGGTCAAAAAAAAAAAAAAAAAAAAACTGGGTCAAAAACAAAACCCCTGTAGTTGAATAAATGTAATGTCAGGAGAGTTACATGTGCAGCAGGGCGGTGTATCGTTCAGAAGTTGCCGATACGATACATACTTCGATACATAGGCCACGATAAGATGCATATCTCGATACAGTGAACTTTTGATTTGATACAATATATTTCAAATCGATTCGATACGTTTCAATAAAAGATAAAGGCTAAATCTTGGCTCTGATGTTAAAAGTCTTTGTTAAACCGCTTCTTGTGTAAAGTTAAAATGAAACACGCCCATTTTAATCCTCAAAACAGTGAAAATGTCAAATGTGTTGCATAAACGAGTTTCCTTCCACTAAACAAACAACAAAACTGTAGCTGTAACAAAATAATTGAGTAAAATATACCCAAAAAAAATTAAAATACCAAAAAAATACACTTGGCGATTAGGGCTGGGTATCATTAAGAAGTTGCTAATACGATACACACCTCGATACAGTGCACTTTTGATTCGATACGATATATTTCAAATCGATTCAATATGGTTCAATAAAAAATAAAGGCTAAATCATGTCTCTGATACTAAAAGTCTTTGTTAAACCACTTCTTGTGCAAAGTTCATGTAAAACACATTAACTTTAATCCTAAAAAAAGTGAAAATGTCAAATGTGTCGCATAACAAGTTTCCTTCCACTAAACAAACACCAAAACTGTAGCTGTAACAAAATAATTTAGTAAATCATACCAAAAATACTCTTGGCGATACATCGTACAGAAGCCCACCATATCAATATTGTATCATCACATTAAACGATACGATACATTGATATTTCAATATTTTTGCACACTCCATGACAATATTGAAATTGTTGAAGCTTTCGACTCGATACGATATATTTCATTTAAGAACAAAAAAAAAAAAAAAAAGGCTAAATGATGGCTGTGATACTAAAAGTCTTTGTTAAACCGCATCTTGTGTAAAGTTAAAATGAAACACATCAAAACTGTGAAAATGTCAAATGTGTCGCATAAACTAGTTTCTTTCCTCTAAACAAGCAACAAAACTGTAGCTCTGTAACAAAATAATTTAGTAAATCATACCAAAAAATACTCTTGGCAATATATCGTACAGAAGCCCACAATATCAATATTGTATCCTCACATTAAACGATACGATGCATTGATATTTCAATATTTTTGCACACTCCATGACAATATTGAAGTTGTTGAAGCTTTCGACTCGATACGATATATTTCAAATGGATTCGATACATTTCAATTAAAAGAAAAAAAATAAGGCTAAATGATGGCTGTGATAGTAAAAGTCTTTGTTAAACCGCTTCTTGTGTAAAGTTAAAATGAAACACATCAAAACAGTGAAAATGTCAAATGTGTTGCATAAACGAATTTCCTTCCTCTAAACAAGCAACAAAACTGTAGCTCTGTAACAAAATAATTGAGTAAAATAAACCAAAAAAGGCCAGAAACAAAAGTTAAAATACTCTTTGTGATATATCGAAACAGCAGCCCACGATATCGATACTGTATCATCACATTAAATGATACGATATGCCGAAATTTCAGTATTTTTGCACACTTCTAATGTGCACTGTTAATAATGCGTTCAATCTTTGTCTTTATTTCCTTTAATCTTTGTGTTTGCTTCATTACTTGGTCTTTATTTCTCGGCTCTTTTTGATGGTTTAGATGTTTTTGTATAATCTGATAAGTCCGGCGTGGAGATAGAGATCAGATTTGTGTTGCTGTTGTAAAAAGAGCCAGAGGCGGTGGAGTCCTGCCTGCTCCGTGTGAACAGCTGCTTTAACATTAGTCCAGAGCCGGAGCGTTACTGCGCCGGAGCTGTGGAGCGGTGAGCCCACGTCCAGCCTGCTCCCTGTGGACCCACTCCACGAGAAAAGCCATTACAACATGTACAGACACACAAACACATGTACACGCACACACACAAACACATGTACACGCACACACACTTACATGCACACAAATGTACATGCACAAACATGTACACGCACACACACTTACATGCACACAAATGTACATGCACAAACATGTACACGCACACAAACATGTACACATACATATAAAGAGCTATACACACAAACACACACAAACATGTACACGCACACACATGTACTCGAACATACTTACATGCACAAACATGTACACGCACACACATGTACGCACAGACACATGTACACGAACATACTTACATGCACAAACATCTACACATACAAACATCTACACATACAAACATCTACACGCACAAACATGTAAATGCAAACGTACACTCACGCACAAACATGTACACGCACAAACATGTACACGCACAAACATGTACACGCACAAACATGTACACGCACATATAAAGAGCTATACACACAGACATGCACACCCAAACATGTACATGCACACACAAACACAAACACACACAAACACATAAATGCAAACATGTACACTCATGCACAAACACACACAAACATGTACACTCATGCACAAACACACACAAACATGTAAACACGCACAAACACACACGCACAAACATGTAAATGCAAACATGTACACGCACACACAGACACACACGTACACACAAACGCATACACACGCAGACATGTACATGCACACACAAACACCTATATGTACAGGAGTGTGCCTATCTTCCCTCAGCCTTATGTTCCCTCATTTCTACGTAGTTTTTTTTTTTTTTCCAAAATTAGGCCCCACATTTCCTTTCTCAGCAATTTGCGTCAGATTTTATCCATTTCTCCCAATTTGTTCGTCAGTTACACCCGACCTGTTCTCCAGCAGCAGAAGACTACAAATGCAATGCATAGGTTTTTTGAAATTACTTTAAATAATCCCTTTAATGATTTGACTTAGAGTTTCATTTTGAGAAAAAATCACAAGAAACAAGAAAAATCTTAGAAATGAGGGAACATATGGCTGACCCCATATGCACAAACACGTAAATGCAAACATGTACACACACACATAAACATGAACACACACATGAACACGTATACACACAAACGTACACGGACAAAGATGTACACGCAAGCACTTATGAGCAAACACGTACACAACAGCACGTACGCACAAACATACACACAAACGTACACACAGCTGGTGTTGTGGCACGTGCTCTGTCTCTGCGGGTTTGTTCAGGACTCGTGTGATACTCTGGAGCTGGACCTTTACAACACCGATGTTACTCTCATGTTACTGTAGATTATAATGTACATGTGTGTACATCTGTTTCCTCGACCCATATGCAAACTGTTTTTGGCTCTGTGGTTTTGTCAAAATGTCAAAATGAGCGTGTGAATATTTGTGCGTGAACATGAATGACATTACATTGGCTAGGGCCGGGTATCATTAAGGAGTTGCCGATACGATACATACCTCGATACACAGGCCACGATACGATGCATATCTCGATACAGTGCACTTTTGATTCGATATGATATATTTCAAATCGATTCGATACAGTTCAATAAAAAATAAAGGCTAAATCAAGTCTTTGTTAAATCACTTCTTGTGCAAAGTTCTTATGAAACACAAACATTTTAATCATCAAAACATTAAAAATGTCAAATGTGTCGCATAAATGAGTTTCCTTTCACTCCACAAGCAACAAAACTGTAGCTCTGTAACAAAATAATTTAGTAAAACACACCTAAAAATATTCTTGGTGAAATATCAATACAGTAGTCCACAATATCGATACTGTATCATCACATTAAACGATACGATATATCGATATTCCAATATTTTTGCACACCCCTAACATTGGCCCAGGTTTGTCACTGTAGTAACTATTGTGTAAGGGATTCCTAAATTAAGGCCTTAAAAAGTCTTAAAGGATGTTGTCAAAGTCTTATTTTTTTCTCAAAGGTCTTAAATTTCATTAGCCTGTTATTTCGATGTTAAACAGAGCGAGGAAAAAAAACAACGTGAAATCTCGTAACATGAATGAACGTCGAGAACAAGCAGAATATAAAATAATAATGACATTTTTAAATAAATAATGTCTCTATAGTCGATCTGTAGCCGGCGGGCAGCTCTAATACAGATTTGATTTGATCTTGCGGGCCAAAAATAATTATATTAAGGGCTAAATTTGGCCCCTGGGCCTGAGTTTGACACGTCTGGTCTAGTGTATTCTGATTCCTGATCTAGTCACTGGAAAGAAATGAAATTGAGCGGAGAAACTAGGTGGCACCAGCCTGGATAGATTTAATTCAAAGTGGTTCTTAGATTCTGGATATAGTATTGGTAGTTGGTTGGTCATTATTAGAATTGGATCTTTAGTTTTTTGTCCGCATAATGGGTGCAATGTTGGTCTTCATTTTCATTTAAGTGGTCTTAAAAAACTCTTAAATTTGGGGTAGTTAAACTTGGGATCCCCTGCCCATCCTTCACTGCTGCTGCGTGTAAGATCAAGTGTCATTCAAACTTTATTAGAAACTGTCAGAAAACCCTGTCACCTCTAGGGATCAGCATGATTAGTCGAGTAATGGATAATTGATCATTAAGAATTTCATCGATTACGTTAATTTTAATCGACAAACCGAATGTAGGTTGCTGTGCGTAGCCTGACCAAACAGGGTCTGTACATGTAGCTCTCTGTGACTCAGAAGGAGCGAGACACAAACAGTGGGTCAGTCTGCAACGTACCAAAGCACAAATGTGTTTTTAATGATGATTTGTACAAGAAATTCCACACTTTCCGTTCCGGTTGGGACAAATGGGACTCCGTATGCACAGTGTTCAAAACAGGCACATATGGTTCGGAAAAAGTTTTACCAGGTGAGAGTCGCTCAATGTGGATGACGAGGCCCCGCCCCCCTCCCCCCGTACGCTGTCCTGGTTTTGACAAACACAAATCTGGTCACACTAACCTGTATTCACCTGAGTCATGTCTTTTAATCCAACACAAGTTGAACCACATCAGCGACACAAGCAGTTTTTTTTTTTTTCTTCGCTTAGTTTATGCAAATTAGTGATGTGGTTTTAAGTTTTGTTTCTGTGACAGTTGTGCAAAACTGAATTAAACACATTATAATGTCAAACAGCTGATGTGGCTCTAGAGTCGTTACGGTTTATATGTCGTAAAGTTGAATTTATTTATGCAGATTAGTAGTGCAGATAGTAATAATAATGATGATAATTTTAATATAAAAACGTTAATGATTAATCGATAATCTATTGTTAATTCTTCCGACGATCGATTAAGAAAATTTCATCGAATGCCCATCCCTAGTTGGGACAAATGGGAGGCCGTGTGCACAGTGTACAAAGCAGCACATATGGTTCGGAAAAAGTTTTACCAGGTGAGAGTCGCGCAATGTCGATGACGAGTCCCCGCCCCCCTCCCCCCGTACGGTGTCCTGGTTTTGACAAACGCAAATATTGTCACACTAACCTGTATTCACCTGAGTCATGTCCTTTAGTCTGACAGAAGTTGAACCACATCAGTGACACAAGAGCTTAGTTCGCTTAGTTTATGTAAATTAGTCATGTGGTTTTAAGTTTCGTTTCTGTGACAGTTGTGCAAAACTGAATTAAACACATTATAATGTCAAACAGGCTGATGTGGCTCTAGAGTCGTTACGGTTTATATGTGGTAAAGTTGAATTTATTGATGCAGATTAGTAGTGCAGATAGTAATAATAATGATGATCACTTTAATATAAAAACATTAATGATTAATTGATAATTGATGGTTAATTCTCCCGACGATCGATTAAGAAAGTTTAATCGAATGCCCGTCCCGACTCTGGATGTAGGTTTGGTCAGGAGCACCTCACTCGACGACCGTGGTGCATGTTTGAGAGTTAAAAATGTTTGTCCTGTGTCTGCGTGTCCTGAAGGTTTGTGCTCTAGAATGACCTTGAAGTTGAACGTTTTCCTTGTTTCTTGTGCTCTCGTTCTCTCTCTCCACCTGAAACCTGCACGTGTGAGGTCACCCTGGGACACCCTGACCTGACCTGAGCTTCCCCCCCGAGCCGCAGGAGCACAGTCCCCGAGCTCACCCGACCCCGACCCCGACCTCGAAACTCAAACTCTCTCCACGGACGTGTGCAGAGCTCTTGTTAGTGTGTCTGTTTTGTTTTGACAGAAACCCTCCGAAACTACTTCTCGCAGTATGGAGAGGTAGTAGACTGCGTCATCATGAAGGACAAAACTACAAATCAGTCCCGAGGCTTCGGCTTTGTCAAATTCAAAGACCCAAATTGTGTCCGGAGCGTGCTGGAGACCAAGCCCCACAGTCTAGACGGGAGAAATGTAAGTGTGTTTTTTAATCTTTAGCTGTGTTCATGGATGTTTGATGATGATGATGATGATGATACTTGTCACACTCTGAACTTCTACACGTGATCAATCTGGAACGGGGTCAGCCCTCATTTTTGAATTTTCTCAAAATTAAACTCTAATTCAAGTAATTTTTATTTTTATACCACATTTAAAGGGATGATTCAGAGTCATTTCAACCTAGGATCCTTTGCACCATGACCTGGTGTGTAACTATATCCAAGTCTGCGATATTTTGTGCAGGCTGCGAAAAAAAACTATTAATATTCTACTTTTTTTCTCTTAAAATGCCTTGACAAGACTTAATCCAAAGAACTAAGACTTAAAAGTGTTAGAACTGTTATTTCTTGTTGTAGTCTGCACTGAAATGGAGCAAAGGATCATGGTCTATGTAGTTCCCCCATGTAGTCTTTTTTTTTAGTTATTGCTGCATCATAACCTTAATTTAAGCAAAGACACTTGTTATTTGATATATTGTGATGGTCCACGATAGGTTTGGGCAGTATCCAAATTTTGATACTGTGATACCGTCAGTGTTGTGCAACTTCACACTTTTCATGAACTAGTTCAAAGTTCAGTTCACACATGTTCAAAGTGAACAGTTCACGTTCATAATTCACATTTTTTAATTTGGAACTAGTTCAAAGATCAGTTCATTGCATAACATTGCAAACGCTGGAAAAAAGCAGCTTTTCCTTGTGCACAGATGCATCAGCTTCTGTCGGACTAAAGGACACGACTGTATGTTCTTTCTGTGACAGACGGACGTCACTGCAACTTTTAGACGTGTAATTTGAAGAATACATGGAAAGTGAATGAGGGCGGCTCCACTGCACGAGCTCGATGCACTTGGAGCAGCACGTCCTGCGCACGTAGATTTCAGAAAACAGGATCCATCTTGTTTTGTTTTTTTTACGCCAGTTGTTATTTCTCTGATAGAACACGCCTAACATGCTCTACACGAACATAGGCACGTATCCCCGTCAAAATACACAGAGAGCATGGATCTTTTGTTGTATTTGTGCATTTAACATTAGCACATCGTGCACCTGGGGCAGTTCTGTATCATGTGAAAGAGCCCGGGTCCAGAAAGACTGTTTTAGTGCTTTGAAATGTACTTTTGAAATCCTTGAGTTTGCTGTGGTGAGTCTGTTCAGAAGGTAAATACAAGCGACTAAATGTCTCAGTCAAGCTTGATCGTCTTTCCCATTGACAAACACAGAGTCAGTATGTTTCGCTAGAGCTGCCGGTGGAGCCGCCTTCGCGTTGACGTGCGGCTGTGGTTTCATGAGGTTAAGTGAATGCAGACCTTGTCACTCGTCAGGTGGAAACAAATTCCGACGTTTAATTGAACCCAACAGTGACGTACGTCACATAATTTGAACAAATTCAAGTTCAAGTTCTTGATTTACAAATGTGTCGTGTTCAGTTCAAAGTTCACTGAAAAATGAACGTGTTCAATGAACTCGTTCATGCACAACACTGATTCTGACTCGATGCTTTGTTTACTGTTGTGCTGTTCCACAAAAGGGACACAGACAGACGCTCGAGTTTGACGTCATGACCTCACAGCTCTTCTCTGATTGGCCGGTGCACAGTCTACAACTTCCAGGATTCTTGCAAAACGTCTAGTGTATTCCGATTCCTGACCTAGTCGCTGGAGAGAAATTAAATTGAGCAGAAACACTATATTTAGTTTGCACAGTATGTAATTTACTTTGCTGTATTTAAATATTTGTAAAGTTTCGTCATTAATTTACTGAAGCAACCACATCATTTTTGAATTTTTGAAACTGTCATGAACAGAGGTGGGTTCATTTCTGCTTTTTTTTGCTTTTCGAAATAAAAAACTTTGCCTTGCTGTAACGGGGCATAGCTGCTGATAAAACAAAACATTTTTAGGTCTTACGCTGTGTGATATTATTTTAAAACCCCAATATTTCTCCTCCTGTCTCATCCGTGTACTGTGATATCTTTACACAAATACACGACGTTCCTCTTCTGCGTGTGTGTGTGACATGATTCCTCTTGATTCAAATCTATGTGCATATCCTAATTGTCCCATTTAGCGCCTCCGTACTCCCGTTTTTTTTTTTGTTTTTTTTTTACTGGAGCGGCGCTGAAGGTGCCTTTGATTCGGTCTAATGTCGGGCGTTTGTGTCTTTGCCGGCAGATTGACCCGAAGCCATGCACTCCCAGAGGAATGCAGCCGGAAAAGTCTCGCACTAAGGAGGGCTGGGTAAGACAAGCCTGCTCCTCTCTCTCTCTGTCACTCCTCCTCTGCTCCTCTCACACTCCCCTGCACGTTTACACACACTTTTACATGGATTCAGAGAGGTTTTGTGTTAGTTAGCTGTCGTAGTGCAAGTATAAAACTAGGCCTGTCACGATAATTACACAGTTCGACCTTTTAAATACTGGCGATTGTAGTATTTTGGGGCTCAGTATTCGTGTGTACTTACAGTTTGTCGTAACATAATTCGATTTTTGAGCCGTAAAAGGTTCAATAAGTGACGAAATACTAGGGATGTAACGATATCGAAATCTCTCGGTGCGATATTTTCACGATAAACATCTCACAGTTCGATATTTATTACGATATTTTGTGGAGGCTGTGAAAAAAAATAAATAAAAAATTCTGCTTTTTCGTCTTAAAATGCCTTGACAAGGTTTAATCCAAAGAACTAAGATAAATAAGTCCTAGATTCCAAGTTTTAGTCCTGGTTTAGATGTGTTTCAGTTTTGGTTTAGACCTGGTTTAGACTTGTTTTAGTCCTGGTTTAGTCCTGGTTTAGTCCTGGTTTGGGCCTGGTTTAGACCTAGTTTAGTCCTGGTTTAGTCCTGGTTTTAGATCTGGTTCAGTTCTGGTTTAGACTTGGTTTAGTCCTGGTTTAGTCCTGGTTTAGACCTGGTTTAGTCCTGGTTTGGGCCTGGTTTAGACCTAGTTTAGTCCTGGTTTAGTGCTGGTTTAGACCTGGTTTAGTTCTGGTTCAGCTCTGGTCTAGTTCTGGTTTAGTCCTGGTTTGGGCCTGTTTATGTCCTGTTTTAGTCCTGGTTTAGACCTGGTTTAGTCCTGGTTTAGACCTGGTTTAGTCTTGGTTTAGTGGTTTAGTCCTGGTTTAGTCCTGTTTTAGTCCTGTTTTAGTCCTGTTTTAGTCCTGGTTCAGTCCTGGTTTAGTCCCGGTTTAGTCCCAGTTCAGCTCTGGTTCATTTTTGGTTTAGTCCTGTTTTAGTCCTGGTTTAGTCCTGTTTTAGTCCTGGTTTAGTCCTGGTTCAGACCTGATTTAGTCCTGTTTTAGACCGAATTTAGATCTGGTTTAGTCCTGGTTTAGACCTGGTTTAGACCTGGTTTAGTCCTGGTTTAGTCCTGGTTTAGTCCTGGTTTAGTCCTGGTTTAGTCCTGGTTCAGCTCTGGTTTAGTCCTGAATTTAGTCTTGGTTCGTCTCTGGTTTAGTCCTGGTTTAGACCTGTTTTAGACCATTACAGTTTTAAAGTAACTTGCCCAACACAACACAACAATTATTTACAACTTTTTTTTTTTATAAAGAAATACAAATAATATTACGCAAAAATGAGTTATTTTCTGTTTCTCATGTGGCCTCACGGAAAAAAAAATCACCCACCTCTGCTCGTAATGATCCTCTATTTAAATTATCTGAGTTTATTATTATCGTGTACCGTTATATCAGGCTTTATAACCTTTTATCGTGACAGGCCTACGTAAAATTTAATGTTTTTGTTGTGGAAATGTCATGAAAACCAAACCAGACAAAGCAGCGTGCAGATCTGGCAGTGGTCCGTCCCCGACCGTCTCACACTCCACGTTTAGATCTGTGTGTGTGAGGAGCAGCTGATCTCCGCTCAAAATGTCACAGTCTTTTGGTAGATTTTTAATTATTTATTTATTTTTTTACGCCAGATGCCCTACCTGTCCAAACCTGCCCATGTTAGAGTAGCTGGAGTGGGACAAAAGTGACGAATTGTCCACGCAACAGCAGGATTTGAACCACGAATTTTTAGATTTTTAGGTGAATTTGAAGCCAAAACACCACTGCCAGGTCCCGTGAGAGGTTTTTAAGTAGATTTTGGAAATGTAAGGGCGACATTAGGAGCGTCAGGGGTCTCCAACGTGTAGTTCAGGAGCTTCCAACTGCTCTCCAACCCGCTTCCAAGGGATTTTTGAATTACTCGTGTTGTGCGGAATGACTCAATTTTGGTTAATTAAATGGGTTTTACAATCCGTGTGTCGTTCGTTCATTCGTTCATTTGTTTTTCAATATAAAACCAAAACTAAGAAAAGGAAAGGACAACTGTTTTCTTCATTATTTGTCTCCAAAACCAAAATAACGATTTGTTTTTTCAGTTTTTGATTTTGTGTTTAAATGAAAAATGGAAAAAACTGATGTTTCCTGTTTCTGTGACTTAAACTGTGATGCTGGACTGAGCCAGGACTAAAACAAGGACTGAAACAGGACTGAACCAGGACTGAACGAGGACTGAAACCAGGACTAAAACAGGACTGAGCCAGGACTAAAACAGGACTGAACCAGGACTGAAACAGGACTGAAACAGGACTGAACAAGGACTAAAACAGGACTGAACCAGGACTGCACGAGGTCTGAACCAGGACTAAAACAGGACTGAACCAGGACTGAACCAGGACTGAACCAGGACTGAAACAGGACTGAGGACCAGGACTGAACCAGGACTGAAACAGGACTGAACCAGGACTGAACCAGGACTGAACCAGGACTGAACGAGGTCTGAACCAGGACTAAAACAGGTCTGAACCAGGACTAAAACAGGACTGAGCCAGGACTAAACGAGGTCTGAACCAGGACTAAACCAGGACTAAACCAGGACTGAACCAGGACTGAACCAGGACTGAACCAGGACTGAACCAGGACTGAACCAGGACTGAGCCAGGACTAAAACAGGACTGAGCCAGGACTAAACGAGGTCTGAACCAGGACTAAACCAGGACTGAACCAGGACTGAACCAGGACTGAACCAGGACTGAACCAGGACTGAGCCAGGACTAAAACAGGACTGAACCAGGACTAAACGAGGTCTGAACCAGGACTAAACCAGGACTGAACCAGGACTGAACCAGGACTGAACCAGGACTGAACCAGGACTGAACCAGGACTGAACCAGGACTGAACCAGGACTGAGCCAGGACTGAGCCAGGACTGAGCCAGGACTAAAACAGGACTGAACCAGGACTGAACCAGGACTGAACCAGGACTAAACCAGGACTAAACCAGGACTAAACCAGGACTAAACCAGGACTAAACCAGGACTGAACCAGGACTGAAACAGGACTGAACAAGGACTAAAACAGGACTGAACCAGGACTGAACGAGGTCTGAACCAGGACTAAAATAGGACTGAACCAGGACTGAACGAGGTCTGAACCAGGACTAAAACAGGACTGAACGAGTTCTGAACCAGGACTAAAACAGGACTGAACGAGGACTGAACCTGGACTAAAACAGGCCTAAAACAGAACTAAACCAGGACTGAATCAGGACTGAGCCAGGACTGAACAGGCCTAAACCACAACTAAACCAGGTCTCAGTGCCGGTCTGAGTCTCAGTCTGGTTCCGGTCTAAGTCCCTGTCTCAGTCCTGGTCTCAGTCCCGGTTTGGTCCCAGTCTGGTCCCAGTTTCCTCATCACCTGACAGTCTACACGGGTGCATGTCCGGGCCAGTCCTGACTCCTGGTTTAGTCCTGGTTTAGTCTTGGTTCAGTTCTGTTTTATTCCTGGTTTAGTCCTGGTTTGGGACTGAGACCAGGACCGGGACTGGGACTGAGACCAGTTTAAACCTGGTTTAGAGCTGTTTTACTGTTCAGTATGTTACAGTTTAAGTTACGGAAACGGGAAATGTAATGAAATTATTCATTTAAACACAAAATCGAAAACTGAAAAAACTAATCATCTGTTTTTTCATTTTGGTTTTGGAGACAAATAATGAAGAAAATAGTTTATTTTTTCGTTTTCTTATTTTTTTTTATTTTGAAAAACGAATGAACGAATGATACACGGATTTTTTTTTTTACCATTGTACATGTTTCATTTTGATTCTTAACTTTGTGCACTAATAAATGTTTTATGTTTTATAGCCGTCTAACTGTACACAATTAAGGCCGTAGCTCTTTTATTTACCGTATTTTCCGCACCATAAGCCTCCAACCCCATCAAAAACGACACCCGCAGAACACACAAACACACACGGAGCAGACAGCGACCGCACAGAGAAAAACACCCACAGACACACTCATCACTCCACGCCGACGAGGAACGGAACGGAGGAACGAACCGAAAAAGCGAGTGCGACGTGCCGCTTCTAGACACGACTGAACAACTGAGTCACTGCGAACACGCCGACAATCCAGCGCTCCCAGACACACCCTCCCTACACGCCACAACTGAACAAAGCCCAGAGTCACCGTGAACTAGGGATGGGCATTCGATGAAATTTTCTCAAATGTGAAAAAAGACGCCCACAGACAGATTATATCAGGGGTATTCAACAAAAATTTGAGGAGGTTAGAGAAAATCTCCTCGTTTTATCAGTGTTTGAACTAGTGATGGGCATTCGATGAAATTTTCTTAATCGATCGTCGGGAGAATTAACGATTGATTATCGATTAATCATTAACGTTTTTATATTAAAATGATCATCATTATTATTTCTATCTGCACTAATCTGTATAAATAAATTCAACTTTACGACATATAAACCGTAACGACTCTAGAGCCACATCAGCCCGTTTGACATTATAATGTGTTTAATTCAGATTTGTGCAAATCTCACAGAAACAAAACTTAAAACCACATCACTAATTTACATAAACTAAGCAAAAAAAACAAAACAAAACCGTTCTTGTGTCACTGATGTGGTTCAGCTTCTGTCGGGTTAAAAGACATGACTCAGGTGAATACAGGTTAGTGTGACCAGATTTGCGTCAAACCCAGGACAGCGTACGGGGGGAGGGGGGCGGGGCCTCGTCATCCACATTGAGCGACTCTCACCTGGTAAAACTTTTTCCCACTGGACACAGAAACATATGTGCTGCTTTATACACTGTGCACATGGACTCACACTTGTCCCGAACGCAACGGAAAGTGTGGAATTTCTTGTACAAATCATCGTTAAATCCACATTTGTGCTTCGGTTCGTTACAGACTGACCCACTGTTTGTGTCTCGCTCCTTCTGATGCAGAGACACATGTCCGGACTCCCGTTTCGTCACCCTATGCTACGCACAGCAGCCTACATTTGGTTTGTTGATTAAAATGAACGTAATCGATGAAATTCTTAATGATCAATTATCGATTAATCGACTAATCATGCCCATCCCTACTGCGAACGCACCAAATAAAGTCCCACTGACCCATCCAACTGTTGTGTTTCCTTTAAAGGTGTAAGGAGGAGGTGGGAGGAGCTGTGGGGGAGGGGAGGTGGTTTCACACATGCACAACATTTGAAAAAAGGACAAACAGTCGCTGGATTTCTCGTTCCTTGGAAAATCCTCTATACAACCTTTAAATGGTCTATTTTCGAACTTTTTTCACGAATAGGCGAGTTTCAGCTGACGTCATTGTTATTAAAAGCCCGCGTTGCTGCTGGGAAATATTTTGGTCGGAGGCAAGAAACACGGTAGCGTCAAACACAGTGTGTAACCTCGCGTATTTATCCCCGATAATGGTAAATTCCTGCTGCATTATCAGACACACAAATAGAAGCACGGAAGAAGGAAAATGTCTTTTTCGTATTCAGAGTGAAAAGAACCGCTAACGGTGAATTAAACGACTTTCAAACATCCGCAGAGCAAACGTAGAAGATCCTAACAAACCGTGGACTCCAACAAGTTCAACAACACATCGAGACTCTTGGAGGTTTTCATCTTTTCTGCTGTGAATGGCCCAGGAGTTTCCACCAAGTCATTGTGGATGTCGCCCAAGTGAATATTTGTCCAGGTAGTTGGCGATTCTGACCAGAAATTTGGTTTGTTCCACCTTTTGTCGGGGTTGAAAAGGGTGATTTGTCGTCCGTCGATGCTTATGACCAATTTCTGGTCAAATGGTCTTCTGTCCTCTGCCGTTAGAGTGGATAAATAACCAGGATCAATACCCTTTACGTGCTTTCTCGCTCCGTCCGTCATGTCGAATTAGTGTTTCTTGCCGCCGACCAAAATAATTCCCAGCATGCAACGCGCGCTTTTGTCAACAATGAAACTCGCCTATAGTGCGGAAAATACGGTACTCAGTTTCTCGTGTCTCAGTTTTTTCTTTTTCGTTTCATGAAGGTAGGAAAAAGGTTGGAGACCCCTGCGCTACACGAATAAGAATCATTTCAATTTCCTGCTAAACGTTCCGCAGTAAAGCAAACGGAACGAGGTGGGGATAAGAGAGCGTGTCCTAAACGATGTAGAGGAGTGTAATGTTGCGTGTGAGCTTCGGGAGCGCTCCTCGGCGGATCTGTAGTGAGTAAATGGGAGCGCGCCCTGTGATGTGCGGAGACCAGCGTCGACATTGACATGACACGTTAAGAATTCTAGCCCAGGGCCAGAGAAGAGCCTGCTCCCTGCTCCCTGCTCTGCTCTGCTCTCTGCTCTCTTCTCTGTCTGAATAGATGTGAGCTCTCTGGCCTCTTCCCTCGGTGATCCTTTAACCAACCGCCTTCCAAACCCGTCCACTCCCTGTTTTCTTTCAGAAGGGCAGCAAAGCCGATAGCAATAAATCTAAGAAGATATTTGTAGGCGGCATCCCCCATAACTGCGGAGAGCCCGAACTCAGGGACTATTTCAATCGATTCGGAGTGGTGAGTATCGGCCACGCACAAGCACAAGCACAAGCACAAAAGCACTAAAGCACAAAAGCACCAGAATCTGTGTGTCGTCCGTTCATTCGATTTTCAATATAAAAACAAGAATAAGAAAATGAAAAAACAGCTATTTTCTTCATTATTTGTCTCCAAAATCAAAATGAAAAAACAGATAATGATTCATTTTTTCAGTTTTCGATTTTGTGTTTAAAGGAAGAATGGAAAAAAACGGATAACGGACTGAGCCAGGACTGAACCGGGACTGAACCGGGACTAAACCAGGACTAAACCGTTTTCAGTCCTGGTCTGGTCCCAGTTTCAGTCCCAGTCTCGCTCCCGGTCTCAGTCCTGATCCTAGTCTCAGTCTCAGTCCCAGTCTCAGTCCTGGTTCTGGTCTCTATCCTGGTCTCTGTTTTGGTCTGGTCCCGGCCTCAGTCCCGGCCTCAGTCCCGGTTTTATCCTGGTCTGGTCTTGGTCTCAGTCCTGGTCTCTGTTCTGGTCCTGGCCTCAGTCCCGGCCTCAGTCCCGGCCTCAGTCCCGGCCTCAGTCCCGGCCTCAGTCCCGGCCTCAGTCCCGGCCTCAGTCCCGGCCTCAGTCCCGGCCTCTGTCCCTGTCTGGTCCATGCCTCAATCACGGTCTGGTTCTGGTCTGGTCCCAGTCTCAGTCCTAGTCTCTGTTCTGGTCTGGTCCCGGCCTCAGTCCCGGCCTCAGTCCCAGCCTCAGTCCCGGTCTGGTCCCGGTCTGGTCCCGGTCTGGTCCCGGTCTGGTCCCGGTCTGGTCCCAGCCTCTGTCCCGGTCTGGTCCCGGACCTGTTTTAGTCCTGGTTCAGTCCGTTATCTGTTTTTTCCATTAATCATTTCAACACAAAACTGAAAACTTGAAAAATGAATCATCATCTGTTTTTTCATTTTGGTTTTGGAGACAAATAATGAAGAAAACAGCTGTTTCTTCATTTTCTTATTTTTGGTTTTATTTTGAAAAAAAAAAAAAAAATGAACAGACGACACACAGATTCACCGTCCTGATTATTTTATCTTTGTCTTTGGTCTGGTTTGTACGGGAGCTCTACGGCAGCGCGGCGTTTGGTCACGTAAACTCGCCAACGCCATCCTGACCCGGGCACCGCTCCAGTACCAACCAGACCGTCCTGTGAATCTGTGTGTCATTCGTTTGTTTTTCAATATAAAACCAAAAATAAGAAAATGAAAAAGCAACGTTTTTTTTAAATTATTTGTCGTGTCTCAGTTTTTTCTTTTTCGTTTCATGAAGGTAGGAAAAAGGTTGGAAAAAGGTTGGAGACCCCCCGGGACTAGACCAGGACTGAGACCAGGACTGAGACCAGGACTGAACCAGGACTGAACCAGGACTGAACCAGGACTGAACTGTTTTCAGTCCTGGTCTCAGTCCTGGTCTCAGTCCTGGTCTCAGTCCTGGTCTCAGTCCTGGTCTAGTCCCGGTCCTGGTCTCAGTCCTGGTCTGGTCGCAATCTGGTCGCGGATTCAGTCCCGGCCTGGTCCTGGTCTGGTCCTGGCCTCAATCCTGGTCTGGTCCCGGTCTCAGTCCCGGTCTCAATCAGGGTCTAGTCCCGGTCTCAGTCCCGGTCTCAATCAGGGTCTAGTCCCGGTCTCAATCCTGGTCTCAATCATGGTCTTGTCCTGGTCTGGTCCCGGTTTCAGTCCTGGTATCAGTCCTGGTCTGGTCAGGAGGTGTCAGTCCCGGTCTGGTCCCGGCCTCAGTCCCGGCCTTGTCCTGGTCTGGTCCTGATCTCAGTCCTGGTCTGGTCCTGGTCTGGTTGCGGTCTCGGTCCTGGCATTGTCCTGTCCTCAGTCCTGGTCGCGGTCTCGGTCTGGTCCCCGTCTCAGTCCTGGTCTCGTCCTGGTCTCAGTCCTGGTCTGGTCCTGGTCTGGTCCCGGTCTGGTCCCGGTCTGGTCGTGGTCTCAGTCCTGGTCCTGTTCCTGTTTCCAGTCTCAATCCTGGCCTCAGTCCTGGTCTGGTCCCAGTCTGGTCGGGGTCTCAGTCCCAGTCTCAGTCACGGTCTGATCCTGGTCTGGTCCCGGTCTCAGCCCTGTTCCTGTTCCCAGTCTCAATCCGGTCTCAATCCCGGTCTCAAATCCTGGTCTCAATCACGGTCTGGTCCTGGTCTGGTCCCGGTCTGGTCCCGGTCTCAGCCCTGTTCCTGTTCCCAGTCTCAATCCCGGTCTCAATCCTGGTCTGGTCTCTGTCCTGATCCCGGTCCTTACCTGGTCCTGGATCTGATTAGTCCTGGTTTAGTCCTGGTTCAGTCCGACATCACGGTCACTCAAATCTGTTTATCTGTTTTTTCATTTTGTTTTTGGAGACAAATAATGAAGAAAATCCGCTACTTTTTCGCTTTTCTTATTTTTAGTTTTATTTTGAAAAACAAACGACCGAGTGACACACAGATCCACGCGCTCTGTATTTCGGTCAAATGAACAGTGGTGTGGGCTTGTTTTTTTTTGACACACGATGACACTGTGTGCGATTGTGTGTGTGCGACTGTGCGAGACGTGTGCGCTCCTAAATGCCGAATGTTGGATATCTGGAATGTCGGACGGTCTCTGCGCACACACACTCACTGTTCCCTTTGTCCCGTCTCAAGGTCACAGAGGTGGTAATGATCTATGATGCGGAGAAGCAGAGGCCCCGAGGTAAAAGCTGATCCCGCTCTCCCCCCTCTTCCTCCCCCCCTCCATCTTAAATCACATGACAAACTATTCTGGCCCAAACGCACACACACACACACACACACACACGAAATGTCCTGGTTATTCCCTCTGCTGTGGTTCCCCCGCTTAATACATGCATCAGGAATCTCGGACTTCCGGTCATCGCGCCATGTTTGTTGCGTCGATCTTTTCAACTCTTTTGAACCGTATCTCTTTTGTTTCTGGTTCCGCTATTGTCATATTTTAGTTATTGGATTCGGACGTCGTAATTGTGTGGTTGTTGGATGTTCTGACAGCGGAAAACGGTTCGAGAAATTTGTTTGCGAACTTCGTAAGTGCAAAAGGGAATCAGATGCGTGTGACTGCAAACCTCCGTTCAAACTGTTTCTCTTCCCAACGGAATTGAAAAATAGTGAAAGGTGAAGGCGGTGGGCAGGATTGATAAACTTTTGGCTGCCGAAGAAATCATCCTGAGTTTGCGGCGAACATTTTGTATGTGGAGCGCCGACAAAGCAAAATCCCGTTTGTTTAAAGAGCCCATCTCATGCAAAATAACTCTTTTCACATTGTATCTTCTGCACATAAACAAGCACAATTTGGGTTTTGGAACATCCATTACACAATAGTTCTGAAATCTTACTGATTTCTTGGAGGCGTCACAGACCAGGAACTATGAAAGTCCGACTATTGCTCCTCCCCCCGCCCGTCCTGAGAAAACACAGGCTCCGCCCTCCAAACGTGACGTAGGCGACGAGTGAGCCGCCCTTCCTCCGCCATCTCAGGGAGGGAGGGGGAGACAGACGTGACCCTGATAGCGGCAGGAATAAACTTTTATTCATCATGGAGATACAGCGCGTTCAGCCGCATGTGTTGGACCCGGAATCGGACGAGGACTTTGAGGAGCACGAAGCTCAAGCACCATGTCGACTCTAAACCACTAACCTCACTGTTGACGAGACTCCGAGCCTGACGTGTAGGTGGGATGAATGTGACCTGACCGTTCAGACTCAAGTCACATGTCAAAAGATCTAAAGGTCTAAACCAGGTTTAATTCAGGTCTAAAACAGGTCTAATTCAGGTCTAAAACAGGTCTAAATCAGGTTTAAAACGGGTCTAAATCAGGTGCACAAAGCTCAAGCACCGCGTCCACATCATCTGAACATTACTGATTGGTAAAGTATTAATAAACACCAGTAGATAAACTTATTATATCGTGTTCACTGCAGTGTAGAACAATGAGCTTATGCTGTCGCTTTTGTTGAGGTGTTCATGTGGGAATTGTCAGACGATGGAGGGGTGGAGGCGGTGGAGCGGGGAAGGGGGCGTCATAGGTGTATCTGCTGCGTCATCGTTGTAGCAGCTTTAGTTCGTTGTCACGTGGGAGTCTGTCAGAAATACGCTGCAATTTGTTAAAAAAAAAAAACACAGAATCAATCTAAAAACCACTTGGGCGACAAATCCAAGGCCCACACGTCACTCTTAGAAGGCAGAAAGCTCTGAAAAGTTGATTTTGCATGAGATGGACCCTTTAAGCGAGTGGTGCAGAAGACAAACAGACTGAGCTCGCAATTTCTTGTTCTTGTGGCTTTACAGCAACATCACGTCTTGGTCTCTTTGCAGTGGAAGGTGTTTCTTGGTGAACAGTTGGTGCCTTTCACTTTGGCGTTGACTTTTTAAATTCGTAACCGAGGTTGAGCGAGGGATCGGGATTTTGCTCTGATGTCGCTCCACATACAAAATATTCGCTGTAAACTCGGGATGATTTAGGCAGTCAAAGGTTTCCTTTTTGGTTCTTCCTGTGGATCAATCCTGCCCATCGCCTTCACCTTTCACTATTTTTCAATTCCGTTGGGAAGAAAAACAGTTTGAACGGAGGTTTGCAGTCACACACATCTGATTTTCTTTTGCATTTATGGAGTTCGCAATCTTCCGAAGCCCATTTCTCGAGCCGCTTTCCGCTGTTAGGATCCAACAACCACACAATTACAATGTCCGAATCCCAAAACTAAAATATGACAATATCAGAACCAGAAACAAAAGCGACATGGTTCAAAAGACTAGAAAAGATCGGATTTGTCAATAGACACGTCCCATTTGGAAAACAAACACGGAGGTTGATGCTCACTTTTTCGGAAAATCCTTCCCAAGTCCGAAATTCTTGATGCATCTACGCAGACCAGGTGAAATACTCTCTGCGTTAAATCTGTACTTTGAAACGAACCAGGCCATTCGCAGAGAGATGGTTCTTTTTCGGCGGGGCCCTCTCTGTTTCAGAAAGGACAGTGCTTTTTAATAGTTAATCACATTGTGCCTTTCGAGCCGGACTAAAATCTCAAAGTGCTTTATAGTTATTTATTCACTCTCCACGCTCTGGACATACTTCTGTGTCTGATGCACTTTTACACAGGCAAAGAAACACAACCGCACGTGTGTTTTATTGAAGAGTTTGCCAACGTTCTGGATTGTTACGTTACTTTCCCACTGACGATTCGCCCTGAGGTGTAACTGAAGAGTAGAAGACAGGTTGGGCTCAGCAATTATTCAGATTAATTCAAGTTATTTGTTTTATTAGTGGACAATGTGACAATTTAATAGAAGTTTATTATAGTTTATGAAACAAGTGAACTTCTGACTACTGTATTTTTCGGATTATAAGTCGCACCAGCCAAAAAAATGTGTAATGAAGAAGAAAAAAACATATATAAGTCGTACTTTTTGGGGGAATTTATTGAATAAAATTAGAGACCAGGAACTGACATTTCATCTTAAAAGGCAAGTTAATTGTTAAGTAATAACAGAAGAGAGAACAACAGACTGTTAACGTCACATATGAACAGTTCTTCAGATAAACTATAACATAAACAACAGAACAAGTTTAACAAACTCTCCATCTCACTCCAAATCACTAAATCCATTCAATTCTTCATCCTCGGTGTCACTTCTGAGCAACTACACGACCTCCAGAGGTAAACAGAGCGCCGCTTCCTCTTCTGCATCGCTGTCGTCAGACTCAGCATCAGCTCCAGTTAGAATTATTCAGGTCTTTCTGAATCCCGACAGGATGGTTTCGGTGTCGCTGAAGTCCAGGTTTTGTCCTTCCATCCAGTGACTTCAGGAAAGTTGCATGGTGCAGTCTCGCTCACTCCAAACTTTCTTTCTGCTGCTCGATTTCAGCTGCAAATTTCACTTAGTGCCTCCACTCAGTTTAATTTCTCTCCAGTGACTAGGTCAGGAGTCAGAATACACTAGACGGTTCGCCAAAACCTCGAAATGCGAGTTCGGGCACCAGCCAATCAGCGAAGAGTGATATATTCAGTGTTGTCAACGATTCCCGAGATCAAGGATTTAAAGCCGAAACAAAGGGAATGTTTGGTGAATTTTATGAAGGGGAAAGACGTTATTGTCCTTCTTCCTACGAGATTTGGGAAAAACTTATATATACCAGTTAGTCCTGTTAGTTGCAGTGTTGGGAAGGTGACTTTTAAAATGTATTTCCCTACAGATTACAGATTACATATCCCCAAAATGTAGTTTGTAACGTAATCCATTAAATTACTTAAAGTGAGTAATGTAATCTGAATACCTTGGATTACTTGATTTGCTGTAGAGAAACAAAGACAAAGAAATCTTCACATAAGTCTGCTAAAAGACAATAAAAAAGCCCAGTCTTTACTTAACTGTATTAAAAATATTATTAATAGAAGAGGAGGAGACATAGTCCGCGCAGCATGGTTTAGTCCTGTTAAATCCTGTTTTAGATCTGGTTTAGTCTTGGTTTAGTCCTGGTTTAGTCCTGGTTTAAACCTAGTTTAGACCTGGTTTAGACTTGGTTTAAACCTGGTTTAGACCTGGTTTAGACCTAGTTTTAGTCCTGCTTTAGTCCTTATTTAGTCCTGGTTTAGTCCTGGTTTAGACCTAGTTTAGACCTGGTTTTAGACCAGGTTTAGAACTGGTTTAGACCTGGTTTAGTGTCCGGCAATGAGTGGAATTACCAAAAAAAAAAAAAAAAAAAAAAAAGGGAATACCCCGAAATGTAAAAACAGGAAAATACCGCCGTGTAATCCATTTATTTCAACCAAATAACTGTAATCCAATTACCACTCATTGAAACAGTAACTGTAACTGAATACAGTTACTCATAATTTGTACTCTGATTACGTAACTCCAGTACATGTAATCTGTTACTCCCCAACACTGTTAGTGGCGCATTACATATGTCACGACCAAACAGCAGCGATTGGTTAAATAAAAAAAAGTTCCCGCCTACCGTCGAGCGAACGAATCCTAATGCTGTGAGGTCAGACGGTTTCTACGAAGTGAAACCGGTTGAGGAATCTGGCTGACAACTTGCCCCCAAAAAGAAAATCAGATTACAAGCCGCATTTGTGTTCAGTCTTCGCAGTCGTCTTTATACGTTTGTTTAAATTAAAAATGTTCAGTGGCGCAGAAGTAACGGTGCGATCGACGCGACGCGACGCAGACAGGACAGAGGCTCTTTCTGCAGGAGACATGCGCAGTAGAGCCGAGCGACAGTGGTACAGGAGGAACAGGAGCAGCAGATACTCACACACAAGACTAGAACCTCTCAACTCTTAACATTTTAATATATAAGTCGAAGGAAACACCCAAACCGTGAAAAAAAAGTGCGACTTATAATCCGAAAAATATTGAGTACATATCTGCTCTCAATTCTCATATAAAAAAAATGCAATCACCCACTTTAGGACCCTCCATAGTTTGTTTTTTTTTGCACATTGAAGCTGTTGCTAGGCAGAATTAGACTGGTTTCGGGTCTTACACTTAAGTTTGGGACTCATTTACTCAGTTTCCTTTAAGTCTGAGCCGAGGAAGTTTCATTCATTCTCCGCAGTTGTAGTCTTGAGTTTGACAGAAAGTCAATGACGACGGTGAAGTATCCAGGTTAGAGAAAGTAGGTAAAGCAACCGGCGTACTTCATCACAAGTTCACGTACAGCCGCTGGC